TTCGAAAGCAAAGTGAGCGTGGTCGAGCTTGGATAAAATGTTTCGAAAGTGGTCCCGAAAATTTTGACAATTTAGGGGTTTCAAAGGCTTATTTAGTCGATTTTAGAGTCTATTAATATGTAGAAAATACATATAATTTTTTTTTTCTCCCCGACGAATTGTGCTTTTTCTCCCCGACCGGGGGGGGGGGGGCAGCTCTCCCCAACGAGGGGGGGCCCTGCTGTCACCGGAATAGTGTTGGCATAGTGTTTCAAGGTGACTTTCCATCGTTTTGTGGCCAAAAAGTGTTCCCTTAGGGTGTCCCCTTGATAGGACGCCACTAAAGCTCAACTTGCTTGACCCCATTTGAGTTTTTTTGTAGATATATCACTTTTGTTGTGTTAAGGTTAAGAAATGACTATTCAAATATTTTGACTCTTTACTTTTTCTATTTGTACATAAATTTGTGCTGATATACAAAATGGCAACACGTTTATGTTTACGTTCCTTCTTGTTGAAGGACTGGACAACCCACTCTCACCTTGAGCGCAGTCAATCCAATTAGGAAGAAGGTCGATTCAAGATTAAAAGATCGAATGTTTTCTGGTTCATGCGTACCTGGATAATGTAACCTAATCGGCTACCCAGCGATATACCGTGCTTGGATTGTGACCATAGAATATCTCTACATCACTACCTTTTAAAAAAATCCGGCTTTACGTTAATAAAATATCACGCCATCAAACAACTGAACACCACCGAAGCGACCATTGGCAAAATCGCACTTGAGAGACCTATCATTGACAGAACAACGATCGGTAAGTTGCCTCACGGAGTTTTCAGACCGAAATTAATGCAGTCCAGTACTGTACAGTGTATACTAGTTGCAGTCATTATAACCAACCGTAGATTTCTCTATGCTATAACAATTTCCTGGTTGTGTTTTGGATTATTTTATACCTCTCTGAATTTTTGGCTATGAGGTATAGGCCTGAAATGAGCACGAAATGAATGCCACGAATATTCGTCCTGTCCTCAGGACTTTCTTAACGTGAATGAGACAACATTAGAAAATAATGGCTGGGTGAAACAATATAGGTGAATAGTTTATGTTGATAATAGGAGACTGCTAGGTTGATTAAGAGAATAATTCTTAGGAGTGAATGTGTGGACTCTAGCAAAGCCTAGATGTTTGTTGAGTCCATTGATATGTGATTTGATACGCATGATCCAACGTAATTCGGAGCAACGTCTATCTCTTGTAGATTTGTAATTACAGCCTAATATGATAAAACGTAAATTGTCTATGGAGTGACCCTGTGAGTTAAAATGGTCGCTCACAGGAAACCCTTTACTCTTATCTCTAACAGATTTCTTGTGATTATTTAACCTTAATCTGAGTTTAGTACTGGACTCACCATGGACCTATTAATAGGTCCATGGTCTCACCAATATAATTGCCTATATTACATTTGTCACAATATATCATGTACACAACATTCGAGATATTGCAATCAAGGTTCGGGGAGTGGATTTTTAAATTCGTCCCAAGTACAGTATATGAAATGATATTGCAATCAAGGTTCGGGGAGCTGATTTTTAAATTCGTCCCAGGTATATGAAATGACATTTCATATTATACCTGGGACGAAATTTAATAATCCGCTCCCCGAACCTTGATTGCAATATCTCGAATGCTGTGTACATGATATATTGTGACAAATGTGTTATTATATTATTAAAGGAAATTATCTATAGAAATAGTAAACAGAAAGTGTAACCATATATAACAAAGAGAGAAATTGTTAGATACTATGATATTACAAGATATATATATATATATATATATATATATATATATGAAGAAGGCGTGTATATATATATTTCCACCTGTAACCAAGAGAATTTTTTTTCATTTTGATCTTCACTGCATGTTCTTTTTCAAAGCTTCAAATAAGTAATATTTAAATGTTTCAAGTCATGGCCTTTGTACCCTGACCTCTGATATATTAAAGTAGTTCACTTAACGTAATGGTGCAGCAAGTTTTTGAATATTAAATACAATAAATATTATATTTTCACTTGCAAAAGAATTTATAAAAAATTGTTACAGGATATAAAATATATTTGTACTTACAATGAAACTATAAAACGTATTTATTATATGTATACTACTCTATGTTTTGAAAACAAGGGCACTTATTTAATTGTTTTTGTGTTTATTTTTATTTTGAATGCAATGTATGATAAAATGAATAAAACGGTAAATAAAAAATAATAATAATAATAATAATAATATTTTACAATAGCATTTTTTATAATGTTTCATAGGTACAACACAATGGACCCAACAACCGACCAGCTATTTTTGCTAAACAATATAACATCACTGGACGGAAGCCAGCTAGTTCCATCTAAACTGTCTATTGACACGACAACAGCCTTCACGATATTCACCAGTCAACAGGGTAACGTGGTTGCTGCTGGGAGTTTCCTTAACAACGGAAAGATAGCAGTGATTGGGCATGAGGCCATTTTGGATAGAGATCACGATAATGACAATGATGACTCGCCTCAATTTACCAAAAACGTTATAAGATGGCTTGCTCGAGGTAAAGAAGATACACGAATTGGAATGTTGGTTAAAGGTGGATACAATGGCTTCAGAAGCAACATGACCAAAGCCGGATGTTCCCTTACTGACGTGACGGGTGACTTCTCAAACCTATCACTATTCGACGTTATTTTTGCAGATACGTACACAGAATTTGATGATGTTCAGTTGTCTCAAATTCAACCCTTTTTATCGACAGGAGGCGGCTTAATTCTTGGCGGACACAATTGGTATTATAAGAGGGACTGGGTTAACAAAATCCTTCTAGGGTCTGGCATCACCATCACAGACGTTCAATCTGATGGATACCAGGTGTTTACTCCTATCCACCCATCACCATCCACCTCGGTAGCTGGCATTCTTAATGGCGTGTCGGAATTGAATCTTGACGGTTCAACTCCAGGCGTTCTTAGTCTCTTTGAGTACAACGCGTTTAGTTTAGTAGACAACAATAGAAACATAATCGTAGCAGGTACACATTGTGAAATAGGTCGGATGATACATTTTGGCCACGAAGCTATTGTAAATATGCGAGGTACCACCACTGGTGACGCCTTGCGACTGGTTCAGAATTCGATTGGTTGGTTAACAAGAATGAAACAGGCGACGTCTGTTGGATTTCTGGTTACCTCAGATGGATTGAAGACAACCTTGGTCGATCTTGGGCATACGGTTCATAATATCAACGTCGACGATGATCTGAGCTCATACAGTCTTCTCTTTACCACTACCTATGAACAATACACAGAACAACAGTTAAAAAAGATACACGCGTATGTTGCGTCTGGAGGAGGGCTTTTAACTGGTGGTCACAATTGGAGCGGAGCTAAAACCAGTATTGACATCTTACTACCAGGTGGAATGTTCCTCACAAATGATTATACTTCTAACGGTATCATACCAGTCACAAGTAGAACACCAGAATTGCAAGATCTGCTAAATGCATTAAATAGTGTCAAGTCACTTATCTCTCATGTCAAGAACGAACGTCCTCTTTCACTTAAAGATCAACAAGATATTGCAACAACCCTTTCTACTTCCGCTAGATTGCCAGCAACCCTGGAGGAGTTCTGGAGAACTAGTAAAGAGTTCATTCAACTTCTTCAACCAGTTCTGATTAGCTCACCTTTGGATACAAAAGCTTTACCTGTCAAAGCATCGTACGTCTACTTATTCAATACTATGATCGAAACTGAGGATGTTGATACCATGAAGTCCTATCCTGAAGCAAGTGTTTTTCCCGGTGAAGTGCCTTCAGTACTCCAGCCGATTAGTAAGTCTGTCGAAATTGATGCTACGTACACTGGGTTGCCACATTACTTTCCGTCTAATTCAACTCCAGTTTGGCGTAGTACTGGTCTTTATGCAGCTCCAAGTACCCCGATTACTATCACCGTTCCACCAGAAGCTGTCAAAAAGGGTGTGCGTGTGCTTATCGGTTGCCACACTGACGATCTTACAAGAAAAGAGACATTCCACCGTTACCCTAGAATATCGAGATCTTTCGAGATTATCTCCGTCGTCACTAAGGCAGCAAACGTATTTGGGGGACTCATTTACATCACTGTTCCAGCAGGCGTTAATTTGGGAAAGCTACAGGTGTCAATAGACAACGGCTACGCTGCCCCAGAGTTCGTTCTCGGCAAGACGGATGATGATGATTGGAAAAAATCTCTTTCTGACAACTCCGTTCCATACTGTGAGTTAATCAGTGAACATATGATCCTGACGGTTCAGACATCTGAGGCAAGAAGTAGAGTAAAAAGCCCAACTGAAATAATAAAGATTTATCGAGCATGCGTAGATGTTACTAATGAAGTATCTGGAATAAAGCATCAGCGGGCACGTGGAGAACGTTTTGTTCTTGATGCACAGATCAGTGCAGGTTATATGCATGCTGGTTACCCAATAATGGGACAAAACGGATCTGCTGTTTACATGCTTGATATTGACGCCATATACAGAGATAACATTTGGGGGCCTGTCCATGAAATAGGACATCAGTACCAGACGAAAGGATGGACGCCCTCAGGAGGTTCTGAATCAACAAATAACATCTTTTCCGTTTACGCCTCAGAAAAAGTTATGAATATCCCCAGAAATAAAGCTCATAGTAGTTTAAGTCCCACTGACCGGAAACAAAGAATTTACAAATACATCGCAGACGGTCGCAAATATGAAAACTGGAATGGATGGACGTGTCTGGAGACTTACCTCCAGCTTCAGGCAGCCTTTGGTTGGGATTTTTTCGTCAAAATCCTAGGTGAATACAATCAAGACATGACAGAAAGGCCATCGTCTAACCAGCAGATACTCGATGAATGGATGAGGCGATCATCTCGGATTACTGGATACAACCTTGGACCATTTTACGAGGGATGGGGTTGGCCTGTGAGTCAGGAAGCTCTAAAAGACGTTACTGGTCTTCCTCACTGGGATGAAAACCCAATGCCTCCAAACTAAAGACAGGTTATTTGTGAATGCACCGATAAACATGCAATATGTCAATTAATCAATCAACATGGATTTGTATCACAATATCAACTGTTCAGTGGTGCTATGACAATGGGATACTCAAAGAGCACATTAACTACTGATGATATTTAACATTACTGTAATGTAAGATTACGATTTTTTTTTTAAAAAGCGCCAATATCCACGGCAGAATGCAATATTCAGTGGCGGTATGACCATGGTATTACACTCCAAGTGCACATTTACTTCCGAGGTCAATTACTATTACTATAATATAAGATAATAATAAATACATCAGTGAATATGATGTGAAAATACACTAAACAATAATGCAATAGGTGCTGTACAAATCCTTGTTGATTGAATGATTGATTGATTGATTGTTGATTATAACCTAAATTGTTGCTCCAATTACCTGAGACGGCATTAACTTGTTAATTCCACTAATGATTTAACATGGTTATTTTACAACTAATAATAATAATAATAATAATAATAATAATGTATTAATGAGAATGCATTAGTATTAAATAAACATCATTGATAAAAATAGGCCTAATGGTTTAGTTTAAGTTTTAGTGCAAGTTGTTTTTGATTTTTTTTCTTTGCTTTCCTTTTTTTAAGTGCACTTTGGGTTCAATAGGTGCACCATCAAAATGATGGCTACTGCTGATCTAAACCTTAACGTGAACCCAATAAATCGTATCGTACAAACAGCAGTCATTTTGAATTGGCTTATGATATGCCTTTGTAGTTTTTTACAATAAATTTGGCATCACTCCTATTTATTGTTGTTTTATTGTTATTGTTGTTAAATATTTCATGCTGACTTTGTGACGACTTTGATAATGATTATGGAAATTTCGATGATGATTTTGATGATGCGTCTTTGTGTTGGCAGCATATTAACAACATAATTAATGGAAATTAATCCATTACGGAGCCTCTTCCCACCTTATATTGAAACTAACTCAGCAATACGTCAAGTCTCCGTCTCTACATTAACGTATTTATCAAAAATACCAAAACACTACCAGGTCCGACAACAATTGATAATAGAATATATTTCATATAGGGCCAAGGAATGATAAACGAAATTTGTCAATAATAGCAGTAAAAAATCAAAGTTTTTTACTTCGAAAAAAAGAAATATAAGAGGGAAGTTGGAACGAAAAGTAGAACGGAGAGAATTCTATTCTTTGTATTATATTTACAGTAGAAGGTGAATATGAAGTTTCGTGAATTGACAGTCCATGTTTGTATACCGATTTGCCAGTAGAGTGATTTAATGACTATGAACATTGCTACAGTATGTCACAGATAAGGCCAAAAAAAAATCGTTTGTTTGCCCACCGCCACCCGCCCCGAACTCACTGAAAAGAATAGGGGCGGCAAAACAAAAAAAAACTTTTTTTTTAGCTTTTTTCTTTACAAGTTAAAAAAATGTGAGTGAATTTATTTTATTTTTTTGCCAGATGCCCTACAAATTAGTCTAAAGTTGTTGTCTGATGTGAGATACTGCTATTCTAGGCCTCTGTGGGTTATTTTTTTTCCATCTGAATATTTAGAAAAAATGATACTGCTATTCTAGGCCTCTGTGGGTTATTTTTTTTTTCCATCTGAGTATTTAGAAAAAATAAACTTTTTCCACCTGCCCCTATTTATCATTTTAAAAAGAAGGGCAAACAAACAATTTGTTTTTTTTTTGGTCTAATACTCAAATAGACTGCAATCACTACACTATATACCTGCCCCCACAACTGGAAAGGCTTTAAGATTTTTCCCCGACACAGATAAAAAGAAAATTACATATAACCAAGTGAAGCTTGTGCTAAAAGTTTCCATAACGTTTGTGTGTTCCTAATAGTTGTCAGAGACCGAATGTTGTGATGTTATTCTAAACTGATTTAAGTGATATGTTTTATACAGCAGGCCAACACATTTATAATTAAAAAATAAACAACAATATAAATTTGTTGTATTTTTTTTTTATTAAATGAAAAAAGAAATTGCACAGCAAAAATACTATTCTGTAACTATAAAATCATTCATAAGGGCTTCTACTGCATGAAGTAGATACATGTATCACAAAGCAGTTGTCTCAGAAACATTAATATGATGTAGGTCTAATGAATTCCTACTTGTTTATTGATATGATATTCCATATTATGCAATGCCATGAGGAAAATTATGTACTAATAGGAAGATAGTAGGAAGTAAGCTGCTTTGCCGGAGCTAACTTCTGTATAAAACCCTGTTTAGACTATCACATTATTTTTGACAAAACACCCCCCCCCCACCCCGAAATACTTTCGAGAGATTCTGAGCGACGCCCGACCAAGCCCACCTTTTTAGCCGGGAACATCGGCCCCTCCATCGGGGAACTCAAGTTTGATAATCTGGACTAAGATTAACTGAGGGTCTTGGGTTCGAATCCTGATGGGGACCAGACGATATTCAGTAAAATTATCATCTTGTATTATATTACATCATTCTCAAATGAACAAATGTACAAATTATTTAAATTACTCTGACATCTTTTCAGGATTACATTATATAAATATGGTAGCTGTTTGATTCATTTTTTTTTTTAAATCAACAAAAGAAATAAATCATTTACAGTAACAAGCTTGGAGAAATATATCAAATAAATAAATCTATATGTATACATTTTAATTAATTTTATGCGTTGAAGTTGCAACAGGGAAAACATTTTTCTGGGTTCTACTGGACATTACAGTTTAAGGCATATCTTTTGTATATTGTAAAACATATCTTTTGAATTACATCAAAGCTCCTTCTTATTGGTTTATTTTTTTGTAACCTGACGTTTGCTTTGGATTTGGACGGCTCGTTTATAATCTTTCATTGCTAATTCACGTTTGCCTAGTTTGCCACGAACATCTCCACGTCTTTTATGTACAATAGCATCATCTGGTTGTAGCTTTAATGCTAAACAGAAAAAAAAACACACAGTTAATATATAATTCAAATTTTATTTAAAATTAAGATAACATTAAACAATAAGAAATGCATTAAGTACGCAAATATAAACATCATTATCTTTTAAATTTATCACATGATATTAACTTTGGTATGGTCAAACATCTCCACAAGGGATATACACAAATAATACATTTTCGGGGAAAAAAACGTATACAAATAAATAATGGATTAAATGTACAAATGATTGATTGAATGAATGAATAAATAAACAAGTAAATCTAATTAACCACCACATCATTTGAAGAATGAAGGATTAAGTGAATGAGTACACAAATTTAAACGTCATTATCTTTTAAATTTATCACATGATATTAAACTTTGGTATGGTCACACACCTCCACAATGGATATATACAAATAATACATTTTTGGAGACGCTCAGAAAGGGGTCCAGACTATCTTTTTGACTAGTTGCATGCCCATATATAGTCATGATGTGCCCATATATAGTCATGAGGTGCCTATATATGGTCATGATGTGATGTCATCCTGACCATATTTAGGTATGTCCCATATTTTTGTCAAAATGAAATCTGATAGCCTGGACAGTGCTTAAGAATAACTAAACTTCATTCAATTTCCAACTAGTCATCAAATGCAAGCCTTCCAAAAAAATGTAAGTTACCTATGCTTTTACATAGTGATTTGATTGTAAGAACACTTTAAACACCCCTTTTCACATGAACAACAACAACATTGATTATCTAAAGCACATGTTCACACTATCAAATTTTATTAGACAAAAACCATGTGACATGCCTAAATATGGTCATGATGACATCACATCATGACCATATATAGGCACATCATTACTACATATGGGCATACAGGAGTTTAAATTTGATAGTATAGACAAAGCTTAATGAACGAAAAAAAAGAAATTTTACCTTGTGAGTAATCCTTCTCAGCTAATTCAAATTTCTGTAGCATGGTGTAAAGGTTTCCCCTGTTGAAAAAAACATGAGCGGAATATGGGCTCATGTTTTGGGCTTCATAGAAATCTTCAATAGCTCCTCTAAAGTCCCTTAGAAGCACCTTAAAAAAAATACAACTAATAATAGCATTTATACAGTATTTCTTATTGCTACTGGTACTGGTACTGGCATTTATAATGCGCCTCTTCCTTGTGGTTATAAAGCGCAGTTCCTTTCACTGGTCATTGGGTCCACATGCTAAGTGTTGCTGCTGGTAATCAGCGCAGGAGCAGGCAACCCCACCAGGTACCCATTTATACTCCTGGATGGAGAGAAGCAATGCAGATAAAGTGTCTTGCTCAAGGACACAAGCGAAATGCACAGCGAGGGATTGAAACCCCAACCTCGAGGTTGGGAAACCAAACCATTCACACTGCGCCACAAGCTATTATTTACAAGCCATGAATTGCACACACACATTTAAGACTGAAAAATAATGTGAAGCACTACATAGCCCATCAACAGTGCAAGGTGGGGTACGGCACCAAAGCATGTTTTACCAATAATGATCAGTGTGTGGCTTGAACCCAGATGATGAGGTTCAGAACTTGAAAGGAAATGGCTACACCAAACTGCTTTCCCCTTTTTTCTCTCCAACCTCTCTTTACTGAGATTATATTCTTACCTTTGTTATAGCTCTGTTCAACATCGCTGCTTCATCATTCTTGTTATATTTCAAGGTCTTGTTGTAATAATCCAGCGCCTATGATAAAAATAAAGTATCAATATAAGCTTAATTAATAACATTAATTTAATTATTTTGAATGTCAGGCATACCTGCACCCCATATAGGATTGCAATTGATGTATTACATTTTAAATTCTTCCTTCTAGAAACAGCAGCAGTACACAGTATCCCAGAGGTGTATCAGTCCATGACTGATTGAAAGATATAAGCAGTTCCACCACTGGTTATACGTACATTTAATTACTGTATAATATTTGTGTCAAATTTGCTACACACATTTGCATACCTGGCCAAACTGTCTATTCTGGAAGAAAGCATTTGCAGAATTGAAGTATGCAAGTGCGAAAGATGGATCCTTTCTAATGGCTGCTTTGAAGTCCTTCATTGCATTCACTCTATCATCCATGAACAGGTGAACAACACCACGATTCGTATACAGCTCGGCAGTTTCCGCAACCTTGAGGGCAGCATTTAGGTCGAGCAGAGCAGCAAATGTGTCCATCATCTGAAGACAAATGATTGAACGACCTTCCAATGCTGGCTTGTAGTCTGAATACAATAGAGGTTAGATATTAAAATAAGAAATCATTTCCAAATAACAATTTATGTTTATACAAATAATTCATAGATTAAATGTATAAATGACTGCATGAATGAATGAATGAATGAATGAATGAATGAATGAATGAATGAATGAATGAATGATAGAATGAATACATGGATTGACTGATTTCTTTTTTAAATGCCTAAGTGAAATAATAAATTAATAAATACATCATGAAAATGATTTAATGATTAGATAAAAAATAATTCAGCAGCCTTCCAGTAGAAGAATTAATGAATGTACTGTATATGTACAAACATATGTATAAGGGTGTAAATGAAGAACTATTATGCCACTTACTAGGATTAATTTGAAGACAGGCTGTGAACTGGGTCCAAGCCTGTTGGAATTTCCCAGTCACTTGCAGTGTGTACGCAAGGTTCACTCTTGCCGGAAGACATAGGGGATCCAGATGTAATGCTGTCTCATAGTCTTGTCTGAAGAATTGGGTGAAAAAGGTTGATAAAATGCAGGTAAGGCATTACATTACATTATTACCCAAGTTCTAGGTTAAAAGTGATTTATTATATATATTTATTTATTACAAATTTTGCACAGTAAAATATAAATAATTTTGCCTGTATTACACTGACCAGGAATATGAAGGATGGAATTATCATTCCCTGATCATAGCGATCGGTTTTCTTTTCCTATAGAATTGGAATTTAAAGGTACCTTGCCATCCTGACAGCTATTTCATGATGAAAGTCGATGAGGGCGTTGCCCCGTCCAATATAAGCATCAAGAAAGAACGGATCTATCTCCAGGGCCTCTGTGTACACTAACACAGCAGTCTCCAATTCATTCAGTCTGCAACCAAAAATGATCATTGTTGGATTTTTTTTAATTTTTTTTTGGTGGGGGGGGGGGGGTGGGGAGGGAAGAGGGGGAGGGGGATNNGGGATACACCACACAAGTGGACACAATCAGGCGCCATTGTAAACAAATAGTATCATCCATAGTTGAAAGCCGCACAAATTACTGTTATCATGTCACTTAGGACCTTGGGATTGGAAGGCAACCATCTTAACCACCAAGCTATTCGGCTATTCGACTCAACTCTCAACTTTAGCCTTGGAAGCATTTTTAAAGGATGATGATCCTATGTATAGATAATAAGTGAAGTTCTGTAATTTGGAATATATTTCATGAGAGTACAGTATCAAAACATTTCAATGGAATATTATTATGTTATTCTTAGTCTAAATTACAGTAAGTAAGCAACAAGCGATGCCACACAATTGTATAATTTGCGTTCCTATTAAGACACTTATAGGTTTTATGATTAAGTTATTATTCAATTATAGAGTTTACTTACTTATGACAGCATAACCCAAGTGTATGCCTTATGGTCACATTTCTTGGTTCCATCTGGAAGAGTGGAAATTTTTATAATTATTTTAAATATTATTGACAATATAGTAACAGTCATAATAATAATAATAATAATAATAATAATAATAATAATAATAATAATAATAATAATAATAATACCTGCATACTGTAAGCAAGTCATTGGTTTTGTATTTAAATAATAATGCAAGTTAAACAATGCTTTTTTCTAGTTGTTTGTATACCTTAACGGCTTGTGTGAAATCTTCTTTGGCATTTTGAAAATCTTTTCTCTCAAAGTACATCAAACCTCTGTTAATTAGAACCTAAAACAAAAGAAATGCTTGTAAAAATTTTGAACACAAATACATGAGGCAAGATCTGCTCATGATGTCATTCAAATTCCACACACAGCAATGTTTTTGTTGATGACTAATAAGTGCGTCATCTGACGACCATCGGGTGCAATACTTTCCCAGCTTTAAATTCCGAGGGTGTATGTACGGGCAAGTTGGCTTGACCTAAACCTATCCTTTCATTGTCTGCATGACGTAAACACATCGACAATCTTACATGTAGAAGTGGTTGGCGCATCGGTTGTGGCTTGGACTCCCAACCTTGAGGTCGGAGGTTCGAAACTCTCGTTGTGCAAGTCGCTTGTGTCCTTGGGCAAGGCACTTTATCTACGGTTGTCTCTCTCCACCCAGGAGTACAAGTGGGTACCTGGTATGTTAAAGCACAGCCTACGCTGAATTCAGCTGAAACATTATGGAATTCCCCCATGGGGCTTGAGTGTGCATTCCATATGTGCTTGATCCAGTGATAATATTGTAAGCGCATAGAGGTCCCTACAATATGCGCTATATAAGTCGACAATTATTATTATTTCAATTCTGTAAGTTACTCAGTTGGCTTTTTATGTTAAAAACAAAAAATAAAACCAGAAATCTGCTACAGGTCTCCCTGCAATTAAGGACCACTTCTGGGATGGGGTTTCAATGGTCTTTAGCATCTTTGGTCTCTAATTAGAATAATAAACATAAGACATTTGTAAATTTTGGAGAACAGAAAAAGTGGTCGTTAATTGGAGGTCTTTAATTGGAGGAATCTATATTGCCAAAATGAATAAGATAATTGATAAATATGAATATTAAAATTATTAAATGATTTGAATAAATAGTGCTTGTACCTTTAGAGAATTCTCTTCACCCAGCAAGAGGACAATGCCATAATCTCTCAGGGCTTTGGGGTAGTGTTTGATGGTGTGGTAGCACACAGCTCGGTTGAAGTAAGCCAGTGAGCATCGGTTGTCAATCTCTAAGGCTTTGGACAAGTCCTTTATGGCTAATTTGTAAGCCATGATGTAGTACTTCAAGGCACCTCTGATGATGAAGACACATTTAATTAAATTTAAATTTAACTCTCACTCAAAAAAAAACAAAAAAACAAGACCTAAGAATGATTGTCATCAGCCTACCAACAGGTTTTTTTTTTTTATTCATAATATTTTATCCATAATTTATTTAGATCCTTATTTTGCAGTAAAACAACATAAATAACAACAATAACAATACCATGGAACACCACCTACTTTTTTACTCTATATTAAGTGCCTACAGAAATCAATACAATTTGTCTTTTTTTGAGTGATTTTTATTCTTAAAAAAGTGACAAATAAGTAAAATTAACTGAATCGTGTGAAATTTTACACTCCCTACTAGAATGATCACTTGAGACTTTCACTCATGTGACATGCCTAAATATGGTAATGATGACATCACATCATGACCATATATAGGCACATCATGACTATATATGGGCACATCATGACTACAGTATATATGGGCACATCATGACTATATATGGGCACATCATGACTATATATAGGCACATCATGACCATATATGGGCATATCATGACTATATATGGGCACATCATGACTATATATAGGCACATCATGACTATATATGGCTGGAGAACAATAATATTAATACCTGTAAAGATAAGCTCTGACACTATTTGGCTGGAGGAAGATTGCCTCATTGCAGTTGACGATGGCTTTACTGTATCTTCCTTTCATTCCATAATAAGCAGCTCTGCTAAGGAATGCTTGGTACAGTTTAGGATTAAGTGCTAACGCTCGATTGAAATCCAGGATTCCTTTAGATTGCCTAAGCTTCATTCGAGTCAATCCTCTCTGGTAGAAAGCCTAGAATGTAAACAAAGCGATTTTTTATTTTTTTTATTTTGCTAAAGCATAATTGTGATGGATCACTTTGATCGGTGTGAAGCTATGTGATTATTGGAAACTTGGAAATTATTCTCCTGATGAAGACTAAAGAAACTCAATCAAAAAGTTGAAAAATTCTCAACAAAAACAAGTTCTTCCCAGAACCATCTACATGGTCCAAATGCATATAATATATGTTGCTATGCAAACCTTCAAACAATATTTTCATACTTCTAATTTGGTTTAAAAGTTCCTATAAAGCCAAAGAAATCATGCAAAAAAATGTGGGTAATCTTAAAAGGGTAAATACAGTGGGAAAACTGTATAATACAGCAATAACAACAACAGCAAAAAAAACAAAAAAAAAAACAATAATAATCATGAAATATATTCCGTGAATGTATTTAATTTTAGGCTGAGGACCAAGGCTTTGCCAATAATGGGCTTAATCACATTACTAAGTGGCAATCCTTCACAAGACAAACCTACAAAAAAGATGCTTTACATATACCAGGATTGCAACGAGAGCTATTTAATTGTATTGTCTTACTGCTCGTGATATCATTATTTACTTCCCACACGAAGCCCAGACAATAATGGAATAATCCAATTTATTAATCCTATCGCATCTTAGGGAGTGGAGTTGTTTTTGGTCGTGAGAAAAAAAATCCTGTTACCATGACAGGAATTGAACCCAGATTGGAAGGCTAGCGTTTTAACCACCAAAGCTATTCAACAGCTGAAAACAGCAATGTAGTTCTGGTGTGGAGGATGTTAACAAACAACTGGCTTACTTCTGGATACTCTGGGTCAATCTTGATGGCCTCATTGAACGCTTCATAAGCCTTCAGGTGATTGGGTATCTCAGTCTGGCACTGGCCAATCAGGAAGTAGACTTCAGCAGCTTCTGGAGGATACACATGCTTGTCAATCATCCACGGTTTCCGAGGATGACACATCTGAGAGGAAAAAAAGTTTAATTAATATCAGAAAAACCTAAGTATTTTTTTAAAGAACTGTTGTGAGAATAAACATTGTGCCAAGCTTGCAAATAAGCTAAATGCAAAAATATAATTGATGGAAATATTTAAGACAAAACTTGTTATTATTATAATATATTCAAAATATTTTTCTACCTTTTAAAAAGGGAACTTTAGTATTACACCCTAATTACACTAATCAGTAGGGATGTTGTTTTAGTCTATGAATGAGTAAAATACTAAAAAATTGTAATATTTGGTATAATTAAGTATTAACAAAATAGACAATAACTATTCACCATTAATTGCAATGCCTTTTCTAAGCTTTCTACAGCCTGTTTATACAGCTTTGCTTTCATCTGTGTCTTCCCTAGCAGAATAAACAACGGTGCAGCAGGCTTGAGTCTCGCTGCCGTTGACAGGGTCTCTATTGCCTTGTTGTAGTTGTGGAGGAAGGATTGAACTGCTGCTTGCTGGGTGGGGGACTGTCCCAGGCCATGACTCAGCTCTGCAGCATGCCTAGGAAATAATAATGATAAATCCACATATGATGAAAAAAGAAACAAAAAAAAAAACAATAATACGGTAACTCCGAAAAGACTACAGACATTTTGAAAATACAAGGAATCAATCTATTTGATCATTTTCAAGAATCATGATGGGTAAACTTCTTCTATCCATATACAATTTACAATATTGTAGAAGTGTAAAGGTAACTAAAAACAGACTAATCATGTAAAAGCAAACTTAAAACTGTCCAATAAAATGAAGGAGGTGTGTCTCAAATGTAAAGTGGGTATCTTATTTATATAAGTAAACAATGTAAAAGGTACAATAAACAGTAGTGTATAGAAGTTAGGACAATAGCTGGAATTAAAGTAAAAAACATTTGGTAAAAAGAACATAAATGTAATTGTTGGTATCCTCAGAGAGGCACTATGTGACAAAATCAAAACAAAGGTTCAAATTTGACAAAAATTTTCCAACTCAAACAAAAATAGTAAAAATATTTTCTCACTGTACACAGAAGCTTGCCAGCTCAAAGTTCTTCATCTCTAGTAAAATCTCTCCCTGTGAAAAGAACACAAAAGACAGTCTAATTGTATGTGACAAATTTGTGTGATGTGCCAATGTGCACGATGATGCCATATGGGCATATCACAGTTTAATATTTGTCAAATCAAATGTGATAGTGTGGACAGAGTTTTACATAAAGCCAGGCTTTCACTGTGCCTGGCGGACGTCGGCCGACGCGATTATATGTCAAACACAACGCCACGACGTGTGTGCAACGGATTGTTTTTAATGACGATCTGCCCAGACTGCCACAGACAATAAGCAGGTGGCGTCGAGTCGTCTTTCACTGACGGGAAACAAAGTTTGATTCGTCGCATGACAATGTAGCGAGTGCCCTGCTTTATGGCCACACTTTGAAAGACGAATAGTATTTAGCCACTGTTAAGTTTAGCCTATTTCAATCTCATTGCGAACAGATGTATGAGTTTACCCCAAGTATGTTACCCTTCTTCTCAGTTAAAATTAATCCAATGTGTACAGGGCTTAAGCTCCACACAAAGACATTAAATATACTTACCCTGTACATGTAGTAATGTTGCTGGTCTGGTCGAAGGTGGATTGCTCTCGTATAGTCCATCAGAGCATACTTTAACTAGAAATGTAACAACACATCATTTATTAATAATAATAAAACAATCGATACTGTAAAGGAATTGTGTATTAAAATATTATGAAGTAATGCAAGCTGCTAAGTTAAAACTTTGTAACTAAAGAGCATCTATTTTTATATTCAATTTGCAATTTCAAAATTTACTTCAATAGTACAAACATACAAAATATACAATAAAATATTATTTAAGATAAAAACAAAAAAACAGGCTATGGAAGAAGGTATGATGCCGAGAAGATAAAGATCTTGTGATGGGCATGCCATAAAGGAAATAAAATTCAAAACAAACATAAAAATAAATGAATGATGAAACAACTAAACAAATAAGTGAAGAGCCAAATAAACACAAAGGGAATAAATAAATAAATAATTAAATAAATTTATTTATATATTTAACAATATATATCCTGAGACACAGAGGAATATGATTACAATAATACCAATGTAAATAATAATGATGTATATAAAATACCTCATGAATAAGCTGATATGCCTTTGCTCTGCACACCAGTGCTCGTACATAGGTGGGATCCACTTTGATAGCATTGCTGAATTTCTGAATTGCCCTTTGAAGAAAAAAAAACAAAATGACAACAAAATACAATATGGAAAAAACAGATAGGGCTATATAAATATATAATACATACTACATATATAAGATTATAAGTAATTATTAAAGCTGTAAACAGTAGATTAGATAAAATTATTGCACAAAGGTTAGATTAATGCATGAGAAAATTGCCTGAGGCCCGCCCATTAGTCTTTGTTTAAATTGTTTAAATGGTTATGAAATAAAAACACTGGTAATAGTACCTTATAGACCAACTTCAATTATTTATTAAATAAGATTTTGCCAGCAGTATGCTGGTTTTTACCAGGTGCAGTGATGCTTAAATGTTGAACAGTTTCAAATCCACAATAAAAGACAATTAGATACGCCCTGTAAACATGTGCACAGGTTTATGTTTACTATCCCAAGAATGTTAGGCCTCTGCAATGTCTGTTTTTCTTATATAGATACATGCAATTTTTACAGCAGGTGATGCTAAGTTTTCCTTAACACTTGTCCTGTGCAACATGTTCTTTTGTAAATTGGGTATAGGATGCTTCAGCTGCATATAAACGGTTAAAGAAAGAAGACAGTTTATTACTTATGGTAGTTGTTTAGCTTGGTCATGTAGATGAGTCCGAGGTTGACGTGAGCGGCAGCCATGTTGCGGTCCAGCTTTAGGACACTCTCAAAATCAGCCATTGCATCTTCAAATCTGAATACACAAAATTATACATTTTACATAAATTTCTCAAATTTAATTTTTACAATTTACATTAATTTTCATACTGGAAAGTATCAGAGAGCTACAGCATATATTAAAACTCATGAAAATGAATAAAGGAAAGAAGGAATGATGAGTACATAAAATGAAAGGGGAAGGGAAAAACAAAAGAAGATAGGAAGTAGGAAAAGGGAAAAAGAGGAAGGCAAAAAGAGATGAAAGATAACAGGAAAAGAGAAGTCGGATGAGAAGAAGAAAAGGATAAAATGTAAACTATGATGATAACATTTTATAAAACCAAGCATGCTGTAGTATTTGGGATAGGTTTGACAATTAAAAACAAGCGACTTAATCTATATTATTCAAACATCATCAAACTATATAGTTACCTGTTGAGTTCCATGTACAAGATGCCTCTGTGCATGTAGGCCATTATGTTATCCAAGGAATCATCAAGCAAGAGTGAAACGCTGAAATCTTTCAAAGCTTTCTTAGGAAGACATCTACAAATAAAAACAAACAAGAAATAATAATAGCTGACATTTAACTTTTCCTAGGGAGGCAGAGTGATAAAAATTTAAAAAAAAACAATAAAAATAGACTTACTAGAGAGTAGTACTGGAATTTGAGTGCTATCTAAAGCTTGTTTATATGGTGTTATTTTATATTTGTCTGCTAATTAACAGCAATTACAATCTACTTCATTTGCTTGACTAATCACAATAAGATTAAGATAAGGTGTTGTCAATCAATTTAGTCATTAAACCTTGAGATAAGTCCTCCATGATGCATGTCATTTAATTTAGGTTATTATTGACCTAAATCACCAAACAAGATATTTTTGATTACTTTTTAGCCCTGCTTTTTCAAATTCGTTTCAAATTCCATTAGTTTTGTATACTGGTTAATTTTATTGTAATGCACGTTTAAACATTTTATTTACTTGTGCAATATAAATTATAAAATTAATAATTATTTTAGCACAAATAATAATTATAAACTGCATGCAGAAAAAAAAACTACAAAAAAAAATGAATAAAGAAGATGAAAATAGATGAAGCTGAAGAAGGAATTAAAGCCCTGTCAAGACTATCAAATTTTATTAGACAAAAACATGACATGCCTAAATATGGTCATGATGACATCACATCATGACCATATATAGGCACATCATGACTATATATGGGCATACAAGATTTTTGTCAAATAACAGTAACTTACTTTCGAAGGATACATCCTCTGTAGAAGTATGGAGCACTGCATTGAGGATCCAGGTGAATTGCAGCAGACAGATCCTCCACAGCGTTGCCATACATGCCTTGCTTGGCAAAAGCACGCCCTCTATAGGCCCTAGCCAGTGCACTATTAGGTTCTTGCGCCAGCATGTCCGTGAAATCTTTGATGGCTGCCATCCAATTTCTGTGACAGATAATAAATCTTATGTTACAGACTTAATAAACAATACAAATAATAATTTTAAAAAAACATTTTAATTTAGAAGAAATAAAGAAAATAATATTAATAATAAAAATACAACATTACTAATAATAATGATGATGGTGATGATGACATTAAAAGTATATAAAATATGTGAGGTCTCACCACGAAATGAGATGCATCGTTAGTGAAATCATATTGAGATATTCACCAAAACAGGTCAAAGTCACTTCAACATTTTTACAAAATTTTGATTTTATTGTTTTTGAATAACTTGATACTTATATTTTATGATTGTATACTTTGTAAATGAATTTTCTTGCCAAAACAGTGTTATTTGCACATATTCTGTAATTTTAGTCATATTATTTGTAGAGGTTAGTTTATCTTTGAGGCTGATTTTCTCAAAACGTGGTTCTTATACACCTAAACTTTAAATGCTCACATCTCTGGATTTCCTTATAGTAGGGAAGCCATTCAAAGACCAAATGAAAGCTTATAATGTGATCTACCCAAATATAACATAAACTCAATTTTTGAATTTCTAACCATGAGACTCATTTTGTGGCGAGACCTCACATATATGATGAAATATATTCTTACTTATTGACATTGAACTGGTATTCTCCACGTTTTAAAACAGCTTCTGTCTTTGAGGGCATCAAACGACTAACTTCTCTGTAATCCTCAAGTGCCAGCAGCATGTCACCTCTCTGAATATGAAATTTAATGTGACAAATACATATGATTTGCCCATATATGGATGTGATATGACATCAACAGGCTCATATTTTTTTTATTTGATTTATTTAATATGCTTTTTAAAAAATACAACAGAAACAAATGCACATGAACAGATCAAATCACAAAAGAGCAAATCGGGGATAACCCTAAAATTGCGAGAAAAGACAATTATTTCCATTGGGGTCCCCTAACACATAAATAGCTAATAAATAACTCATATTTGTCACACAAGGGCCATAATGTAGACAAAGCTTTGCAATGTCTAACTGTGCATTAAATCCAACTCAATGTATGACATCATGATGCCCATATAAGGTAAATAACACACAGTATTTGTCATATAAAAACCTATAATCTGGAATATGCTAAAATTCTTTCAGTGTGTATTTGGCTGGTCCACACTATCAAATTTTAATGCGACGAATTTGTGTGAAGATTAATCATTATACAAGCATGAAGGTTATAATATAGCGAGTCTACATACCTGTTCATACATCTGAGCCCTCTTGTAGTAAGCTTCGTGATCGTCTGGGTCCAGTTTAATGGTTTGGCTGAAGTTCATTATAGCCATTGTTAACTCACCCATCTCGCAAAATATCTCAGCTCTGCATGGAAGGTAAAAATGATAAGAGAATGAGGATGCTTATGTGATGGTTAACATGAGTACATGAGCTTTTGGTGGTTCTATTATATTTGGGGGAGCACTAGTTTAATCAGTGGTATCCAGTGATATATTTACATGATATCAAATAATTTTCTTATGGAAACTTTGTTTCTGAATCGTAGCATCAAAGAAGGGTAACATAATCCTAAACCGAATCATAAATCTACTCTTAAAAACTGAATTAGAATTTTTTTTTAAAACCCAATGCTAGGTATTGTACCTTGACTTGTAGGCACCAACATGGTCTTTGTTCATCTTAAGTATGATATTAAGATCTTCCAGTGCTTTAGTGGGTTTCTTCCTGAGGAGGTAAAGGAGGTGGCGGTGCCAGTAAGCATCCATCAGCTGAGGCTCAAGTTCAATAGCTTGGTTCAAGTCTTGCCAGGACAGCCTCAGATTACCAAGCTACAAAGAGAAATAGAATGAAGTAAAAAATAATAATGCAAAATCATTTGAGACAGCCAATGCTCTATGACCAAGATTCTTTATAAGGATTCCAAGGTGGACAACTGATCACTTTGGATACCACATGCCTTATAACAATGTCATCTGTTTCAGAAGTTCGAAGACAATCATTTGGGATTGTAGATGTCAGCCTTGGACCGTAGAGATTTTGGAAAGTTTATGTCATTTAGAATTCACAGAAATATTAGATGCACGCTCACTTATGGTTCTGGTGGTGGAACAAGACTTCTCGAATAAAGGCTAAAGCTGTAGGACAGCGTACACAATGGCTCATGTGCACTTTAAAGAACCCAGATGAGTAGGGGGTTACCCCAGAGTGGTTCATACAGCCCCTCATCTGGACAAACGATAGACAGCTGGCACCATTTTACCAGCTAGCTCAGACACGAAGAGACCTTTAGGGGAGATGCAAGTTATTGTACGTACTAGTTCACTTTTAGTGCCTCAGGTATAAAGTGCTATATAAAATCCAACTACATTACATCTTCATACCAACTGATACTAAAAACTTACCTTTCTATAAATGGCCCCTCTTCTACAGAGGTCAAATGGTGATGGTTTGTCTGCCATGTCAATGATGTCACTAAGATTTTGAGCTTCTTCCATCAAGTCCTCTAACAACACATCCTCTACATCTGGCAAGGGATCGATGGTGTCTATATTATAGGAGGCATTGCTTGCAATTGATGTCCTTCTATTAATGTCAAAAAAACACCAGATACTCTGTACATTAAATCCAACTCATAATGCTGTGCTAGTCAAGATAAAGTATGATATAATTATCCCTTTACGTGGATCATATTTGAATTTTATAATTGTACATATGGAACGGACTTTGTGATGATCAAGTTATAAGTAAAGCTTCAAATTTTGAAGATACAGATCAAGGAGGTATGACCTGAAAGATTATAGTAGAGGTCAGAGCACTGAGCTCCTAGAGTTGAAGCATTTCATCATGTTAAAAAAAAATAAATCCTTGTCAAGTCACAGGGTTCATATGGGCTGGAGCTTATCCTGAGTTTCAAATACTGTGAAGCAGGAAAGAGAGTGATGCTCCCCCTGGGTGAGGTGATGGTCCACCACAGGTTACCTCCTAGCAATATGCTGGTACCCATGATACAATTAATAGATTGAAGCAAAGTAGATGAAGTGCCTTGCTCAAGGACACAAGCAAAATGCACAGCGAAGAATTGAAACCTCAACCTCGAAGTAGGGAAACCTAATCATTTCCACTGCACCAAACCGCCTCAATTTTATTATGTACATGGTGAATTTTATTATTATTTTGTTGGTTTATTTTATGCAAGGTGACAGGTTGTTTTTACCAGAGGGGGTGTCATTGAAGGAGTATTAGGGAGTACACGTCTTGTAAGGAAATATCATGAGAGGGGGTTTCCCTCAAGAGGGGGTTTCCCTCAAGAGGGGTTTCCCTCAAGAGAAAGTTACGGGCGCTCCTTGCTACCGGCCTAAACAACATCTAAGCTTACTTGTTGGCAGCTTCATTGGTAGTAGCAACACTAGTGACAGTTGACTCCTCATCACTGTCTGGCTCTGTTGGTGGATAGACTTTGTCAAACCACACATTCCAGATGTCTCGAGCCCACTCACGCACATCAACATCAGACCTACAAAGAGAAAAAATAAACATACCAATTTATAAATTATTCAAGATAAACCAAGATAAAATCAGGTAATAAAATTATTGCTATTATTATTCCATTTATTTCGAAGGGGTGTTCCGTTTGGGAACAATGGCAATTAGTCGGTTTATCCAGGTATTCACAAAATAGACTTATAGCTTTTAAATTTGTGTTGTTTAAAATATCTTGTCCATTGTTTGAATCCATTATTCAAGAATTGAGCAACAGTTATGTTAGTAAAGGATGAATGTAGAAGAATTGAAAAACAGAAGCTGAATTTCTTTTATTTGAAAACCTTCAATGTTTTCCCCAAAGTACATTATAAATTATTATAAAGCACCAAAGCCCCATATTCTTCTTTCCTGCTGAAATCGGAACAAATGTAGACTATTAAATTTTACTTGACAAAAAACTGCTCTATGCCCATATGAGGCATGTCATGGCGAAATGGTTAAGTTGTTGCACAGGCCAGTATTGAGCTAATGAGCTATAAAATATGGGAGCTCAAAAAATTGCCTAAATATCCAAATTTTTTTCACTATAGATCAACAATTTAATGTCTTATTAATCATGTCCCAAAGTATTAGTTCTGGAAGTGGTCAACAAATCATTTATTTAATGTTATTTAGATAGTTAATTCTATTAAACAATGTATGCACAACAATTACTCAAAATCATGTTTATCTTGACTCTAAGAGTGCTGTACTTTCACTTTCCAATAACTTAGGTTTGAAATGTACAATTTCAATGAATGACCCCTCATTTTAAATATCACATACTCAGGTTAGCCATTTTGCCACAACCTGCCTCATATATAGTTATGATATGCCTATATATAAATAAATAACATAAATAAACATAATAAATAGATAAGTACTTCGGTGTGAAAATCACCAAGGATAACCCAGGATGTCTGAAGACTTGTTTCGGGATCCTTCTGGTGGTGAATTGGACAGCACACTGGGAGACAATCCCCTACTCTTTTCCAAAGACTGTACCTCGTTCTTTAACGTGCGCATGGGCCATATTGTACATGGGACCAACGGCTTAAACATCTCATTCGAAAGACAGTGCGCTATCGTAACTTGTATTTCAGCCCTCCAGCTGAAACACAAGGAGAGTAGCGATGGGAATTGAACCGGGGACCTACAGATCTCCACGGTTCAGTGCACACACAACGGCTACCACCAGCTTAGTCGACTGATCTAAGCTATGAACAGGATGTGATGTCATCATGACCGTATTTAGGCATGTCACATGTTTTTGTCAAATAAAATTTAGTAGTATGGGTAGCGGTTTAGAGGCAAATTCTTACCTTGCTTCTCTTTGCTCCATATATCCATCAAAATCCAAAACATTGGTAAGACTGTTCCTCTTTTGGGATTTCAGAGACCTAGAAAAGAAACAATTTTATGAAACAGGATTAAATTCAACATATACAATTGCATGTCTCATTACAAAGAGTAATATGAGTACAGTTGTTACTAGTTGTAAAAAATATGATCAACTTTTTTTTATGGCGGCATACATCATCTTGACATATATAAGACCTTTTACAACCTTTTTTGAGATGTTGTCATTTGAATAAACAAATGTACTTACTTAGGGACTCTTAGTTCATACTCCAACGGAAACCTAAACATTGGAAGACTCTCCGACCTGAAGAAGACAAAAGCAATGAAAGTACAAATTATATAGACATAGATATATACGCAGTGAAAACAGTAGGGGCTCCAGAAATTGACTGACAAGGAGTCCAACAAGTTTGACAGGGAGGTCTGAATTAAGACGATGACAGAGGGAAATTTCCCTGACCAAGCTCACCTTTGTAATTGTGTTGGGGTTTCATTCAAAAACTTATCAATATCTTGAAGGCGTTTCTGTAGACAAATACAAAAGTATTACTGTAGTTATATTTATTAGTGTGTGTGAAATACATAGATAAATTGACTATTGCATTCCCTTACAAAAACATACCCTTGAAAAATAATAGAATATTTCATCCCAATGTGCCATCTAAGTATAATGAAAACATAATATTTGGACATAGGCATATTACGATGGACTAAATTATTACTTTTGATGGGTATTCCCAAAACTAGAATACCCTTCAAAAGTAATGGAATAGACCATGTATGGATCAGTGCTTACACAGTGGCTACTACCAGCTATTGCCAACTGGGCGAAGCTTTTCCCTTAAAGCTCTACTATGTAGTATGTCTTATTGTGAGGCTTACATTTTAAATGAACTGAACCCAAAACCCAGAAACTAAAACGCCAGCTCTAGTGTATTTCTATTTGTATTTTCAAAGCAACAGCATCTTTACTAGAACAAGCTGAAGCAAGCAACCAATAAAACAATCAATTAATAAATATATACATCAATCAATCAATCAATCATTTTATTAATGAAATCAACCAATGCAGATATTGCACATTCCACATATTTCTTTACCAAAATCCATAAATGCATATTTCCAAAGCATAGCAAGCATTAACTTAATAATAATAAATGAAAGATAAATGCAGTATGATTCAGAACCCTTACGCTATCTGCTGCCTCAAAATGAGTTTCATCTTGCTGTACAGAAATAAAATGAATAAATTAAAAACATTGTAATAATACTAATTAGCATTAGTAATATTCAATCTAGTTCAGCATGTAATTACACTCTAAAAAATTTGAATTGTTAAAAATGAGATACTTACTGGATCAACTACTTTCTTAGGCTTTTTTCTGTAAGAGGAAAAAAAAATTATTTGTCACGACCACAAAAGTCAATAGGAGGAATATTGTCTCATCGCTCAGAATATAGAGCAACCAAATGGTAACCTATATTTGGTATTATTATTATTATTATTATTATTAATCAGTAGCCTCTGATGACCTTGACTAATTCATAAAAATGTGTATGATCTGCCCATATATGGACATGTCAAAAGTAATCCATACTCCAAGTAACAAAAAGCACGCCATCATGTAGGGATTCAATATTTCAACATTAATCATGTCATCATTAGGAATGATGATGTCCTATTACGCCCATATATGGACATATCACATTTATTTGTGACATAGAATGTGATAGTGTGGACACAGCTTTACATTAAAATGTATGTAAATAAATAAAATAATTAAAATAAATATATTAAATCATCCTTTACTTATTAAAATAATCATATTTTTCTATGTATATTCAAATTTTAATTATAATGTATCTAAATATTGTATTAATTCATTTAAATATTGTAAAAAAAATCCAAAAATATTTCTGTTACTTATAATTGTTCGAAATATATTTATTTAATGAGCATTTTGATAGTAATTGTTATTGTTGTGATGGAATAGACAATAACGGATTTGATTAAACGGATTAATCAAATCATTGGGCAGACAAGGTGAAGTATGCCTAGTAAATAAGTACAGTACAGTAAAGAATTCTTACCTTTTAGGATAAAGTATGTACTTCAAACCTGCTTCCCTGGCCTGCTCAGCTGGTGTTGGTTCTGCCACTATATACAACATTAAATAATAATAATAATAATAATAATAATAATAATAATAATAATAATAACAATAATAATAATAATAATAATAATAATAATAATAATAATAACAATAATAATGGTCGACTTATATGAAAAAACAAAATGTGATAGATATCAATATCAATCATCAATCATATAAGAAAATATTTAGACAATTAAGATATTACATCGTTAAGTAATTGAGTAATTACACAATTAAGTAATATAAGTATTTAGATACTTATTTACAGTAATTAAGTAATTTGGTAATTAAATAATAAATAATTTAGTAATTACTGAAGTAATTATAGATATTGACAATCGCTAATTAACAATTTAACATTAACATATTTTTAAAATGGAATTAAATTATTTTTCTTTATAATTATTTAATATATTATGCCTAATCAAAATTTATTTGAGAATCGTTCAATAAGAATTTACTAAAACTTTCATTAGAGAATGCTAGTTTCTGTGTTATTTTATAATTGTTTAAAGCCACAGTATAGAGTATAGAAACATTAATTAATAATTACCATTTTTGGAAGTTGTAAATACATTTTCCAAAACTGATTCACTTATAATACTACCGGTCATCTGTGATTATGAAAAAAAAAAAACATTAGAAATGACATTACCAGTACCAAGTCATACCATCTTATATGATAGAAAAAAATATTAATAAGTTAATAATTAATTCCCTAAAAACTGAAAGCAATATTGATAAGGGTGTTAACATATATGTGAGTCTATACTCTTGCAGATGTTGGTTAAAATAAATGGAACCAATGGTACATTAGGTTGTAAATGGTTGTGCTCCAGAGGTTCAAACACGAAAGGGTTTAAGGCAAAATATTGACCTCTGTTAATCAGTTAACGATATTAATTTAAATCTTTGGTTGTCAAAACTCAAATATGTGTCGCCAAAACTTTCTACAAAGTCCAAAGACTCAAGCTTCCTGACCAAAAAGAAAAAAAATATTTGTCTCGTCTTCCTCACACCTCATGCCCCCACTTAATCTTCACCCATCCCCTTTCACCCCACCCCCCAAAAGTTCTCCATGCCAATACTCCTAATTACACCCCTATATAACAGGACAGATTCATATTTTAACTTACTGAATCTCTGTTGATATCACCTATCGAGCTACTAAGGTCATTCTGTTGTCCACCACCTTTCTTTGCCTCCTCTATCTGACCATGTTGGTATTCCATTTCTCTCATACATGTTTCAAAGTCTGTTGCAACAGTGATGCTGGTCTCATCTGTTAAATCTGGAGCTGATTTTGACCTCCTGTAAAAGATAAATTAAATCAATCAATTAATCAATAAATCAACACAAATCATAACATACATATTTTTCAAATATAACAATTTTATATTGTAACATTTTGTTTGTAGGCGTTCAAATGTGCTATTTTTACACTGATTTGATTTTCTGATCATTTCGGTAGGCATTGTGATCCGAAAATTTGGATTCGGTGTAAATACACCTATAAAAATTCACAGAAGGCTCACGATTAAAAGTTTGAACCATAGCAACTGCACCTAGTGCACTCCCAGAAACCATGTAAAACATTATTTTGTAATTAGTTTTTTTTATATGCAATTTTGGTGGAATAAAATATCAATGTGAATACTTTAATATGACATTGTTAATTTTGACATTTATTATCTCAACAAACATACTGTATGTTTGGAAATACATAACAGACAATCTATTATAAGTCATGTATTGCTACAACATGTGATTTCATTGAAGTACATGTTTTTGCCAATTAGATATGAACATTAGGCATAAAAATATGACAGTATTGGCATATATGGCAAAAAATAGGGCATTATAATTTTGGCATATCTCAAAAAATATGGTAACAATAGAGATTCACTGCAATTTCCAGGTAGTTTAAATAAATAAAATATATCAAAATTTAGCATGCATCACCCTTTCTAACCCTCCCATCACTTTTTTAAAGATACACTTTCAATGCTGAGTTAAAACCTCTTTAAAATTTATACAAATTTATCATACTTTGTATATTTACATTTGTAAGTTATAAACCTTAACTTGAAAAATTCCTTGCCAGTTAACAAATATAAATAATAGTACTTTTATATTTTTTGCAAACCCTTTAATTCTTGGAAATCAATATGGATTTTTGTAGTAAATTGGTGTGAAATTATTTGTATCGATACTGTCTAATACTCGAAATATATATTTATAATCCTTTCAAATGAGTAAATTCAATGTATTACTTAAATTTCAGAGTTTTGTTTTAATATTACATGACAGATGGATATTTAAACTCTTTAGTGTGTTTGTTTATATTGTTTTTAATAACAATAACAAACCACTCAATTTACAAAAAAAAAGTCTTGACAGTCTGATATAAACAAATTACAAAGCTTAAGAATAATATGAAAGAATTTGAGGGTTATCTGTCAGTATTCATCTACCAGTATGCAATGCCAGTGGTACAATAAGGTAAGGCAGTAGCTATTTCTGTTTCAATCATCTAAATCCTGGTTAATGCTATTATCAAGTAAGTTGGTTTAGAATTAGATATGATTATTTGAGGCTCAAAACCAACATACTGTCACTATAGGTATGTGACAAAGACGAGTCATACCAGTCACTCGTCGCAAAAATAGATTTTTAGTTATTAATACACACTTAAAGATGTAAAAGAGCATTAAAATGGTAAAAGAATCATTTAAATTAGACATTTCCTTATAAAATTACAAGCATTTATACATACAGCTGTTTAAAGAACAATTTTTTTAGAAATCGGCCTTTAAAGTTTATGATTTCAGGTATTTCTCAGACAAAAACCATCAACAAATTGTTAAAAAATGTTGTTTTAACATTGAAAATGTGGAAAATAACAGCATATAACATCATGTATAGATATATAGAGGCTAGTTTAGTGCAATAAAGTAAATTTTGACATTTCAACATGTTTTGGCCATTATCTCTGAAACATGATTTGCGACAAGTGACTGGTTTGGCTTGTCTTTGCCACATATGTTAAAGTGAATTTTAAGAATGTGCCAGTATTGTATACTTTAGTACTAAGAAACTTTACAGAGAAACAGAGGAACTCATGACTTTTGCAGCTGATAGCTGATTCCAGTAAATGATTAAATGACCTACCATTTAGAATGTGGAGAATACATTAAAGTCAATTTTCTTGATTTGTTCACACTGATGCTGGTTTTGGGATGGCAAGCCCCATTTGGTTTAGGTGTGTTCAATTTGATTTTGGGATTAGTTTAATTGTGATTAGTTTTTAAAACTAAATGTCCCATTTGGTATGCTGGAATGTGGTCTCACCACGAAATGATCGCATCGTTGGTAAAATCATATTGAGATATTTACCAAATATGTCAAAGTCAAAATTTTTACAAAATTTTTATTTCAATGTTTTTAAACTTGATACTTATATTTTAGGATAGTATACTTTTTAAGTGAATTTTCTTACTAAAACAGTGTTCTCTGCGCATGTTCTGTAATTCTAGTCCTATTGTTTGTACAGAATATTTATACCTTTGAGGCCGATGAGATGTGGTTCTCATATGCCTGAACTTTAAATGCTCACATCTCTGGAATCCTAGGGAAGTCATTCAAAAACCAAATCTTTTAATGTGATCTATCGATATGTAATATAAAGTCAATTTTACATTATATAACCAGGTGACTCATTTTGTGGTGAGACCTCACATGTAGGTAAGTCATATAATGGATGAATTAGTTTTCCTCCATGGTTATATATGCATTTTTATAAAATTAAAACTGGGTTGGGGTTGACTTGAAACTGGTATATAACTATCCTAAAAGTTTTGTTCGTTTGGTTAGAGACATTTCATGTATTTTGATGGATTTAAGTATGTTTTATTAGTTGACTCTTTTATTGTTAAGTAAATCATGTACAGTATCTTCATTTTGAAATGTTGTCACTGATAAAAATGAGAAGTTCATTCATAATAAATATATTATTGTGTGTCCACATTAAGTTTAAATTTGTTTTCAATGTTTGATCCGAATGCTACTTTTTTGAAATGTATAATGTCAAGAAATCGTAACTTATGCAACTCCCTCATATACAAAAAAAGATATTAATTATTGTGCTGTTCGTCATTAAAATGACATTTTAATGAGAAACTAAAATTTTATTTTAATTTATGCCGGACAGGAGTAGTAAGATTAATCTCTTCTACAACAAGTGGTAAACATGGATGCCATACGGGAAACTGCCTTCCTTCTCAAAGGCATCCAGCATCTGGATTCAACCAATGTTCTACCATCTATGCTAAATCTGACTGGCGATGCCTTCCCTCTGGTTAGAAGTATACAAGGAAAGGTTCTTGCAGCAGCTACATCCTATCATGAGGGGAGAGTTGCTTGCATTGGTCATGAGCAGTTTGTTAACAAGACCAGCAACACTGATGACTTCCCACGATTCGTCTGTAACATCTTCAACTGGCTTGCAAAAAAGAAGCAAACTCCCAGGATTGGATTTCTGGTTTCAAGCGGGTACAAGGGATTGGAAGAGATCCTTCTGGAGCAAGACTTCATCCTGACATACACCAGTCCTGATAAACTGGGTGCTGTAGATGTAATCTTTGCCAACTGTTATTCCAACTTCATAGAGCAGGAGTTTGAACGGGTGTGCCAGTTTGTAGCAAATGGCGGTGGGATGCTGGTTGCTGGTGAGAACTGGTATACAAGATCACTCCATGCTAATGACATACTTCTTGACTGTGGAATAGAAATCAGCCAGGAGCAGGCAGGTGGCAATCAGGACTACCAACCTCATTCCTTGTCAGCACAAACTCCTACCAAGGTAAAAGCTGATTTATTTTAATAGTGATATTTTTTACTCTCTCCTATTTGGAGATTTGTTTTAGACATTACATATTATATATAGTGTACTACAATCTATCAATACCTTCCCATGATGTTAAAATTACATATTCCATCAATTTTTCAGTACAACTTACAGTTAGATTCAGGGCAGGTTAATGACATTCTTTGGAAAGATATCAAAAAATTAAGCACAGAAAATCTACAACCAAGTAAACTGGAAATATCTGGAGATGCCTTTCCTGTAATCACCAGTATGGAAGGAGACATCATTGCTGCAGTTACATCTTATGGCAGGGGTAGGATAATGGTGCTGGGTCATGAAGACTTTGTCACCACCAAAGATAAGGACGATTTCCCATCATTTATATTAAACATCTTCAGATGGATGAGTCCTGAAAGAGACAGCCCACCTGCCAGCGTTGGCATTCTATTACCAGGATTCGACTTCCTGCAGGAGAATTTGCAAGGGAATGGGTTTAAAGTTAGCTTGATTACAACTGACAACCTTTGTGATGTCGACATTATATTTTGTGATTGTTTCACCAAGTTCACTGAGTTCCAGCTGGCTAGCATTGACAAGTTTTTGTCTGAAGGAGGTGGAATGATTGTGGCAGGGCACAATTGGTTCTACAAGGTGGACCATGCCAACCTTGTTTTTCTGAGCTGTGGTATCAATATCACCATGACAATGGCTGGTGGTAATGAGATATTTACACCTGAGACAAATGCATTCACAGGAAAAGAAAGAGTAAGAAGACATTATAAAACCACATATTTATTGACATAATATTATTTATAAAGTACTAATAATAATGATGATGAATATATTTAAAAAAACTAAAGGCAGATACTTGTTTCTTCAGGTAGTTAAATCTACAGTGAATGAAATGGAAGTAAGGGATCTGATCATGGAGAAGGTCAAATATCTGAATCTCAGCAACAACGAACCATCTATGCTGGAGTTATCAAAAACTTCATTCCCAATCTTAGAAACCAAACAGGGTCGACCAATTATAGCTGCTTCTTCATGTGGTGCAGGAAAAGTTGTAGTAGTTGGTCATGCAGCCTATGTCACCAAGCCGCCTGGTGAGGATGATTTTCCTGTTGTTGTGGCCAACATTTTCAAATGGCTTTGTAAAGGAGTAAAAAGAGAAGAAGCACGCATTGGCTTATTGGTGTCAGAAGGTTATTCACAGCTGGAGATCACTCTGAGAGAATCTGGATTTCATGTCATCAACATCACTTCTGATAGAGTGGTAATGATTGATGCCCTCTTCACTGACTGTAAGAAGAGATTTACTGAAACAGAACTAGTGAATATCTTTAAGTTTGTTAGTAGAGGTGGAGGCTTGCTGGTTGCTGGTGATAACTGGTACCAGGAGAATGATTATGGTAATGACATCCTCAGTGCATCTGGTATAAAGATCACAAATAAGTATGGAGGAAGTGAGGCAAATGTGTATAATGTACAGTCTTCTAAAACATCAGGCCAGGTAAATTACCACAATTCTGTGTTCTGTTTCGCATATGTCACACTTTAGTATTGTTGCTCAACTCTACATTCATAGAAACATGGCTAAGTTTGCAGTCGCAAACATAAACTAGTTTGTAGAACATGCACGTAACCCTAGCCATGCCTATTGAATAACACATTGATTAATAGACTTGATCAAATTAGAATTTTGAGACTTACAATGAACCGTGTACTTTTCATATTGCATATAGTGATTAACTGTAATATTGTCTGATTTATTCTTAAATTTAAAATAACATCACTTGATACCATAAACTAATTTTTTTTTAAACCTACCAAAATAACATTGAAACTAAAAATAAAAATATGGAGTATTTTTCAAATGTTGAGAAATTAGATATTAAAATAAGTTTGTATGATTTCAAGAAATTATGTCAATTTGAATGGAGACATGTGTTGGCATTTCCCTTTATGTACATCATTGTGCATACTCTTTACTAAACATTTTCCGGTTTGGTATATTAATGAATGAATTTTGAAAATATGAACGAAATCATTTTTTTTTTTACATCTTTCTTAATAGAAGAAACTGGAACGTGCATATGGGGCTCATGTGTACCAACTTCTGCGAGATGTAAACACACTGAATGGAGAAAGCACTATTGCGTCCCTCTTGGAGATGGAAGACACTGCTTTTCCAGTTGTTAAACATCATAACAATGTCATAGTAGCTGCCTCACTGAAAGGCAAGGGAAAAGTTGTTACAATGGGCCATGAATCTTTCATCAACAGAGCGGAAAACCGTGATGACTTCCCTCAACTGGTCATCAACATGGTGAAGTGGGCTTCAAGTGAATCATATGGCTACAGAGTTGGTCTTCTGATTTCAAACTACTACAAAGGACTGAAGGCCATACTGAAGAAAGCTGGAATATCCTTCATCGATATCACCACTGATGAACTGGATTCTGTGGATGTTGTCTTTGCTGATTGTTACACAAAGTTCTCTGAAGAAGCGCTTGCAAGAATACATGCCTTTGTGCAAGGTGGATCAGGATTGATAGTAGCAGGAAACAACTGGTATACAAAGAGTACTTATGCCAATAACATCTTGTATGGCTGTTCAATTAAGATCACACAGAGCTGCGGTAGTTCATTGAAGTGGACAAAGCCTCCATCTTTAGAAACATTTGATGTAAGTTATTCAAAGATTTTATTTCAAACAGGTATTTGTTTAAATATTCTATCTATTTTATGAGACAAATAAATGTAAATTGCCAATATATGGATATTGGTGTATGACATATTCATGCCTAAATATAGATGTGATATGATAAATTTGTTGGGTTTTTTTTGTGTGTTTTCAGATGCCTGTTTTAACCGAGTTAGAAGAAAGAGCTGAAATTTTGAAACATGTTAAGCAAGTTTACTCACGCTCTAAAGTTCCATCGATACTCAGACTTGCTGGAGAGGCTTTTCCATTGGTCAACATGGGCAAAGGAAAGTTTGTAGCTGCCGGTTCATCATATGGTGAAGGAAGAGTAGTGGTGTTTGGTCATGAGGAATTTGTTAGCAGACTTGATAGTGTGGGGGATTTCCCAATAATGGTGTGTAATGCAATCAGATGGATAGCTCAGAAAGAGGAGATTAATGTTGGGTTCTTAGTTGAAAAGGGATATAAAGATCTATCAGTAAACCTAATCACAAATGGGTTTAAGGTATCTGTTATTACTACTGATGAATTAGAGGGTGTTGATGTCCTGTTTACAGACTGCTATAAGCGATTCACTAAATCTCAATTGCTTAGTCTCCATGAATTCATAGATAAAGGTGCAGGAATGGTCCTTGCTGGTCAAAACTGGGAGTACAAGACAAGTTATGCTAATGACCTCCTTCAAGGTTGTGGAATTTACATCACTGACTATTATAGTGGAACTGGCCCACTTTATATGTCAAATAACCTTAGCAGTGTTGGAGACCAATTTAAGCAATTCTCTGAAATTTCAAGTCTTCCGCTTGACGAGGTATCTGCTAGGAAGGTGCTATTCAGAGATGTTAGGAATTTAGTAGTAGGTAGCATTGAACCCTCTGTCCTAGAAGTCTCTGGTCACGCATGTGCTTTAGCTGAAACAGTAGATGGTAACATTATAATTGCTGCATCTACCCTTGGCCAAGGTAAGATACTTTGTATCAGTCATGAAGCTCTTTTAAAGGAGACTAGTACTGGTGATGACTTTCCACTTTTTGTTTTGAACACATTCAAATGGTTGACTAATGAAAAGCCTGCACCTAATGTAGGTTTCTTGGTGGCGAAAGATTACAAAGGCCTGGAGAAAACCTTAAGTGAAAACAAATTCAATGTCAACTTTATGACAACTGACCAGATACACACAGCCGATGTCATTATTGCTGAGTGTTACACAGAGTATGATGAAAGCAGTATAAATAATATCCAGAGGTTTGTCAGAGGAGGCGGAAGTCTCATAGTAGTCGGGCAAAACTGCCAATTCAAAACAGTATTTGCAAATGAAATTTTGCTTGGATGTGGAATTCAAATAACAACCAAGTCTGCTGGCAGTAATCAAGTGCTTTTAGGCACAAATGAACCAGAGGTATCAATTGATAAGAGTGATGAAATCATAGATAAATCGATGATGAAAAGGAAAATCTTGAAATTTGTATGGAAACTAGATGCTACTGGTGTAGAGCCTTCTGAGTTGAAGCTTTCAGGTGAAGCATTTCCTCTGGTGACAAGTCGACAAAATCTTGTGGTTGCTGCTGCTGCCCCACTTGGAAAAGGGAAAATAGTTGTCCTTGGCCACGAAGAATTTGTTAAGAAAGTTGGAGAAGGATCCGATGACTTTCCTCTTATGGTGCAGAATATCTTTGATGAATTGATAAAAGATGGGGTTAAAAAAGTTGGAATGCTTGTTTCTTTCGGTTATGAAGCCCTAAAATCCAATCTCATAGAAGCAGACTTTGAAGTAGCTGAGATTAACACAGCTGAACTAAATCTCGTTCACGCTGTCTTTGCTGACTGCTACACAAGGTTTGATGAGCAGCAGTTACTTGATATCTATAGCTTCGTTACAAATGGTGGTGGATTGCTTGTTGCTGGGGAAAATTGGTTTTTCAAAAAGGAGCATGCCAATGATGTATTACTTGGTTGTGGAATCAAAATAACACCTAGCTTTGGAGGTGGAGATCAGGTATATGAACCAGAAAATGATGACATATCAGACATACACAGCTGCATGATGATAGATGCAATGACATCCAAAGATGCAATTCTAAGAAACGTCACATTACTTGATGGAAGAGGATGTGAACCTTCTGGATTGAAGCTTTCTAATTACGCATTTCCATTGGTAAAAAGTAAGCAAGGAAATGTGGTTGTTGCAGGTGCACCATTAGAGCGAGGTCAAGTTGTGGTGTTTGGCCATGAATCATTTGTCAAAAAAACTGGAGAGGCAGATGATTTCCCACTCCTTCTGCAAAACATATTCCACTGGATGGTGCGTGGAAAATATGGTGCTGCTGTGGGATTACTTTCTTCAGAAGGCTACAGTAGTCTTGAAGACAACCTTAGAGAAGCAGGGTTTACAGTCATGCCAGTCACAACAGACAATCTCGGAGATGTTGATGCTATCTTCGCTGATAGCTACACAAAATTTGATGAAAAACAACTCGGTGCAATACATTCATACCTGAGAAAGGGGCGTGGACTGGTTGTAGCTGGTCATAACTGGTTTTTTAAGCATGACTGGGTCAACGATGTACTTCTAGGAAGTGGAATCGAGATCACTTCTGAATATGGAGGTGGAAATCAAATCTATGAGTTAGAATCAAACTTCGAGAAGGAATATCCAATTGTGCTTGAAAATGAGTATATTAGTGAAGTTTCAACCAAAACTGAGCTTTTCAAAGGTGTACGACGTCTAGAGGCTTTCGATATTGAACCTTCAGAAATCAAAACAATCGGAAAAGCTTTTCCTCTAATTATAAGCAGAGAAGGAAAGACGATAGCTGCAGCAGCATCCTGCGGTCGTGGAAAGGTTGTTGCTTTAGGTCATGAACAATTCCTTGAATTGAAACAAAGCACATGGAATGATTTTCCAAAGTTTGTCACCAACACCTGCAAATGGTTGTCCAGTACAAGTGGTCAAACCTTTGGCTTTTTGGTTCCCATTGAAAAATACAAACGCTTCAAGAACAATCTTCGTAGTGCCAAGTTCACTGTGCCTGTCATAACAACTGATCAGCTGTCATCAGTTAATGTAGTCTATTCAGACATCTACACTAAATTTGATGCAAAAGAGTTGCGCAAGATCAGAAGTTTTGTAACAAATGGTGGCGGATTACTTGTGGCAGGACAGAATTGGCATCTGCAAAGAAATTTTGCTAATGATATTTTGTTTGATAGTGGAATAGTGTTCACAAAATCAAAAGGAGGAGGACAACAAGTGTATGTACCCACAATGCCTTACAGTAAACCTAGAGAAGTTCATTTCTTTGACATGCTGTTTTGTTGCATGTTTAATAAGGTTTGAATATATGTGTAAAGAACAATGTTGCCTGTTGTTCAGTATATATACCAACTACAACTTTTGTTGTTATATTCTCAAATAACAGCAAGTCACCATATTTTTTTATGTATTGCAGATCCCATTTTACGGGTAGAAAATTTTATTTTGAGACCATATATAGGTGATAAATTTAGTCTTGTAACGTTTTTCATCCCTGCACAAGTTTAAAATGAGCTTTCATGAAGTACTTTAAAATGTAAAAATACTTTCTTCTTTAGTCCACCTAACAAAATTTTGAATTTAAGTATGGCTTCTCCCTGTAAATTTCTATCTATGAATGTGACACAATTAAGTCTATTAGCCACTGATTTAAGTAGTTAAAAACGAACAACCAACAAACTCTTTCAAAAAATGTGTTTATCTCTTGAAATCTGTCGGAAATCACATGTCAGTAAAAATATTTTCAAATTTATTAGCTTGTAAAATCAGCGGTGGATCCTCCAGAGGGGGTGGGGGAAGAGGCCTACGTCTGTTGTTTTTGTACATAGGTAATAGACAATTAGGCACAGGCGGCGTACCAGGAGACACATACTAAATAAAATGTGATAATACCGATAGCGATTTAAAAACTGAAGTAAAAATGTTTGGGTTTAAGACACTGATTTTGTTTGACTTGGTTATTTCAGATTACTATATAAATAAGTACAGTAAGCATATTTATTTTTCTGAAATACTAATAAATACTAATAAAAGTAAATATTGAATTGTATCTTATTCAAAAAATATCTGTAAAAAAGTGTGCCATATTCGAGTTCATGTCTACTGGGTTGTTATATTTATATTGATATTTATAACCATAACCATATTATAATATTTCTTTTCGTGGCTTATTTCTCGAGAACAGAAAAAAAAATACTTCTTGAGAATTACTGAATTGAATGAATTATAGTATGTTAATGATGAGTTTCTTGGGTTTTACTTGAAAACAATAAAAAAATAATCCATGTATCTACCAGATATTTAAATAATATTCATTCAACATTACAACTGTTGTGTGCTAATAAACAAATTCACAACTTACTGAATTAGAAAAAGCACATACAGTAGTAAAATGATATAGGTTTTAGAGTAATGATATGTTTGCATAAATCTTAAAGTATAAATAACTAAGAGGTTTACATTTGCTAATCCTTTAAACACAACTGTTTTGTTTAAACTAACATAAAACTATCAAAGTCCATTTAAACAGTATTTAAGTTAAAAAAATAAAGTTTGAAATATACAATCCAATCAAAATGACTTGTTCACTTTCTCCAGAGTATATTTCATACTATCTTAAATTCTGTCCACAAGATCATATTTTATGTGACAAAAGTGTGTGATGTGCCCACAGGCATGAATGTCATATTACACACAAATATGGGCATATTAATTTTATTTGACATAAAATGTGATAGTGTTGACAGAACGTTATGTCAAAGTTATCGGTGAACCCCATGTTTATATCTGATATGATTTTTACTGGTGGTTCTTGCAAGGTCATTGATTAAATTGGTATGTTAATTGTGGTTGATTATAAACATTAATAAAAGACTATTTCAAGTACAGAATTTTTTTTCAACTTATGTTGAGGCGAGACATGGGTGTGATAGAAATGATGTTAAGGAATAAGAGGCAACATTATTGATGGAGAAAATAATGATGATAACATTCATGATGATAATAATGATTAGATAACAAGTCAACCTAGTATAAACATGGAGAAAATAAAATATTATTTTCTCCATGGTATAAATACCATTAATTGATTGATTGATAATTATGATACTAATGAATCTGATGATGATAATGATGATTGTGATAATGATTGTGATGATAATGATGATTGTGATGATTATGATGATAATGATTGTGATGATAATGATTGTGATGATAATGATTGTGATAATAATGATTGTGATGATAATGATAATTGTGATGATAATGATGATTGTGATGATAATGATGATTGTGATAATGATGATTGTGATGATAATGATGATTGTGATGATAGTGACAATTGTGATGATAATGACAATTGTTGATAATGATGATTGTGATGATAATGATGATAATGATGATGAAAATAATGTGTAATAAATCAGACTATAATCAACTGGTCTGCAAAAGAATTTAAAATTAATAAAATGTGCGCGTGTACCGACAGGTTTAACGTACTTGCATTTCAACTTATACTTCTAAAACAGACTGTATTAACTGTAGCAAACTGTAGTTTAGTTTCCTAAAAATCTGAAATCAATTAGTTAACGAAAATCATTGCTATTGGATGTGACAATATTTCGAAGTAAAAATCAATAAGAAATGCAGTGGCAGTGAATTAACATCATGAGTGGATTAGAACTCATTATTCTTATTGTTTACAGTTCAAACTACTTTAAATACCATCCGCTCTGTTGTTTGATAAATAATATTGAATGTGCATCAATCATTGTTGCGGGCTATACACCACTTCATCAGGCCTTTTTTGAAACAGCGCCACTAACGTCTGAAAAATTCTTCACTTGTGGACATCCAGCAAAGCAGCAGTAACAAGACAACCAAAAATACTGGTTTTCTTTCTTCTTTTGTTTTTTAAAGACTAGGTAACAACAAGAAAGAAAGCGATGCACCGGCCACAGATAAACATTGGTAACTAAGCAAAATGCCTCTAGAAGTCCCCCCAGTGGTAGCTGCCAGGTTCTCGGAAATTTTCAATTCAAATTTGACGAAAATGGGCAATACCTAGTGAGCATGAATTTACTAGAAGTTTATAACAGCAGCAGTTTTGTTAATACTAGCATGGAAGTATGTTTAATGTTTACATTATGAGTTGATATGTAATTATCAATTACAGAATCTGTTATGTTTATCTGTTTTTCATTGATTTCATTTGGATGGCAATGTTCTATCAATTGCTGTTATCGGGAGTATAGTGGGAAGGCTATCGGTAAATTTCCAGTTGATGTATAATCAGGCCGTACTGAGTAGGGACTGGACGATTTCCTGCTCCACAAAACTTCCATTCATTTGTGAAGAAAGCCTATCTAATGGTGGCCTAGAGTGGCCAAAACCAGATAACATCTGAATTTAGGAGGATTGAATTGTGTTAAACTGAGTATACAATACACAGTTTACAAAATTTCTAGGCCTAGGTTCTACTTCCTTAGGCCCTATGTTTAATAATTTAGTATTATTATCAATAATGAAAACAAAATAATATTTGAAAGAACAGGAAGAAATAGTAAAGAAACTTAATTTATCAATATCCATTTTCCTTTAATTTACTTTTAGTGCATTTATTATTATTTTTTTTTTCATTTTGTTCTCATATATTTTCTATTCATGATTTATTGATTGTATGAATATTGATTCATATTAACAGAATGAGTCTTGTAGTTATATATTCATGACAGCTCAAATTCATCTTTGTAAAAAAAATGCGCTACTTACCACAATCGCAATTCACTCAACATGATCTCATCTGCACTAGGCTCCTTCACTGCTTGCTTAGTTGTATTGTAAAAATCTGAGTACTTCATATCACTTTCACTAAAAATTGAATTACCTAAAAATACATAAAAAAAAATAAAAACATGAATTGATTGATCAAGGTTGATTTATATGAAGTAAACACTACTATAAACATATCTGTTTTACCTGAACTAGATGCTAATATATTTTCTTGGCTTTCAATGTTTATCTTGTTTTTTGATACATCTTGCATCTGTTCTCTCTTGGAACGCATAAATTGTGTCAAATCATCAGCTGATCCATGCCTCCTGTTTAGAATCCTTCAGAATTTAAAAATAAGCAGTGTAGTTGCATACCATACACTAGTGGAAATTATTATACAAAGGTTAGATTAATGCAGGAAAAAAATTAGCACTTAGCACCAGAAGGACCACCATTAGAATTAACCAATGAGTCAACAAATTAAGAAATAACTAAAGACGATAATACAACTGTATAAAATTATGAGGGTGCTATTCAAAACTTACCTTTCCTTCTGCATCTGGTTTTCCAAATCACCTTCATCCATTGCAGAAACAATTTCTATCACATCTAGCTGTGTATAAGAGACAGTGTACAATGAGTGTATCTCTGTATGCATACAAATAAAAATATTTGAGTATGTTGCCATCATGTTATGTTTTAATAAACTAGCCACTGTTTGCATATATCTTGACACTCACAACTACAATTGACTAAATCAACTCCGCTATTTAAAGTTCTGTTGAGACTATTCAAATTTATGTGATGGACATCTGCAAATTGTGCTTAATTACAAAGATATGACATTACCCTGCTCATGGGTTTGATATGACATCACAATGCACATATTTGGGAAATAATAATTAAATTCGTAGACTACAGACTCATCAATCTTACCTCGAGGCATCCTGCAGAAGCTCCATCTTTTTCCCATCCACCATCAATTCTTCCTCATCAAACTGCATAAAAAAAATTTAAAATAAATAATAAATAAAACAAACTTTATATTTTAAAAAAAAATGTAAAACATATCTATACATAGAATAACACTAAAGGGAACGTATTTAGGCATATTTTATAAATTAAAAATATTAGGCCTAGTTCAGACTAGGTGGATAAACCCGGCTCAACTCACCAGGTTTATCTACCTGCCAGTCTGAACTAGGTGGCTTATCTCAAGCAGCGCTCTGTTCCCATAGTCCATAAGCCAGGCTTTAATCGCTGTGGGGGGGTCTCGCGTTGACCTCGGGTAAAAAAATGACCAATCAGCATTCGATTACGCATACAATGAGTGAGCGTACTTTTCGCCCGCAATGTTTCGAAACTCGTTTCCTGCTTAATATGCAAATTCTTGCGCCTGCCTAATCCAGCTGGTCTGAACGCCCAGCAAAGATAAGCCGGGCTTAACTTTGAGCCAGGCTTAACATAAGCCTGGCTTATCTTAAGTTTGAATATAGCCTTAATAATGAAATGGAAAAAATAGCAAGTATGTTATATTTTTGGTTTTTTTTCAATTGATTGACTACTTAAAGCTAAATCTACACTAGATACTACAATGACACGACAACATATCATCGCATAATTTGTATTCTTCAAATAATATTGGATACCCATTTATGTAAATTAAGTTGACTTCAAGGCCACAACTTACCAAGTCATGAGCTCGACGCTCCCATGTATGGTAAGCATCCTCCGCTGTGTCGGTTTGCTCATTTTCTGCTTCATCTAGGATGCGTCTTGCAGCCGCTGACATAACTTCTTCACGCAAATTCTCCTGTTGCATCCTCCATTCTTGTTCTTCAACTCCCTCCTTCCCTTCACTTCTCATCGACATTCGAGATAAATTTCTTGATTCACTAAACTCCTGAAAAAATATACAATAAGAATAATAATTAAAAAAATATCTATATTTAATAAGAAACTAGTTGCTGTCCTCCTGGGTTGACAGAGACAACATACAGTCTTGCCCAATATTACAAACAGTGACCCCACCCCCTCCCTTGATTTGAAGCTCCCTCACTAGCATTAGAAGCTACACCACCTTTTTTTCCAAAGAGATATAACAGAAATATAACTACAGCTTACATATTCAGGTGTTTGTTCAGCCCATTTTGATGTAATTCCATATTTACTGGGTGTGTGGTACATCCTCGACACCCCTTGGAGGTGACCAGGTAAATGAAGTAACGGTAAATTGGTACAGAAATGATGGATGCTTTGGCGAGGTGGCTTACAGGAATCCATTCTGCTCATGCTCTGGTTATGCTAAGAAAATATAAAAGGATAATAAACAACTGTTGTATGCCCATATATAGTCATTATGTGCCTATACAATGGTAATAATGTGATGTCATCATGACCATATTTAGGCATCTCACATGTTTTCTTATAAAACTTTGGTCTAAAATCGATTGCATTATAAATTAAATTAAGCTCTGTCGACAATATAAAATTTTCTTTGACACAAAAACTGTTGTATGCCCATTTATAGTCATGTTGTGCCCATATATAGTCATGATGTGCCCATATATAGTCATGATGTGCCAATATAGTCATGATATGCCTATATATGGTCATGTTGTGCCCATATATAGTCATGATGTGTCCATATATAGTCATGATGTGCCCATATATAGTCATGATGTGCCTATATATGGTCAAGATGTGATGTCATCAAGACTATATTTAGGCACGTGTCATGTTTTTCTGGACAGGGCTTTAAGCCAAACAATATGTTTGAACCTGTGATTATAACTTACTGCTGGATACTTGGGAGTTTCTTGTGGGGCCCATGCTGACAGGAAGGACATCGATGAATTCTGAACTGTTGGTCGAAGGTCAGTCTTTGAAATGCTTGAAATATCCTGCCTTTCAATTAGCGATTGTGATTCTCCTTTGACGTGTATTATATCTTCAAATGCGACATCAGTTGGAAGGTCTAACAACTAATGAAAAAAAAAACATTCAGTTCTTAAGAAAATATTGAATGTGGATATAATAGAGGGCCTCATCAAGTTATAATATAACCATTGGCTGGACAGGTATTATACAAAATCCATGGAAAAAATAAAAATTCATTGTATTTATCAAGTTGGTTTTATATAACATAAAATGAATAGGTTGTTGCTAGTAGATATGAAAAAAAAATAGGCTTTGATAGGAGCATCCATATACTGCAGAAACTAGGTCAAAATTATTCTAAACATAGTCTATTATTGGACATGGTGCTATCAGCAATTGGTTATCTGTCAAAACATAGAACCATCAACTCACTGATAAAAAAAAATAATAAATAAATATAAAAGTCACCCAAGCTTAATATCCAATACAAAATAAACCTACAGCTAATGCATCCTCCACATTTATTGGTCTCTCCTCCTCATCCTCATCCTCCTCTTTTCTGATGGCATCTTCTTTAAACACAACTGATGGTTTCTGATGCAGAGGTTGCTGTTTCTCCAGTTTCCCATTGTCATCTTTTGTGTCTTCTATCATTCCAGCAGGTATATTTTCTTCAGTTAGTCTTGGTGTTATACTTAAAGCACTCTGGAAAAAATGTGTATTTTACATGAGATTAACAATTTATCTGGCCAAAAAAAACTTGTAATTTTCCTATTTCTAAACAAGCAATAATTCTTAATAGTGTGTGCTTGGCTGATTAATAAGTACCCACTACATTGATATAGTGCCCACTATGCTACAATAATGCCAGCTAAAATGACAAGAGGTGTTTACCATTACTATAAACATTAAGAATACAGGAAAGAAAGTCTCCAAGCATTGCTAGGCATACAATAAGCTACTGTTAACTACTACACTTCATAAAATTATTCTTGATATAACATTAGGTTTGGCAAAATTCATTTCTAGGAATCATAAGCTTGACATGGCCGTAAGGCCCTGCCAAACATGATGAGCAATAATGTCACAGGCTGTAGCAAGCATGAAAGTTTAAATTCAAAATACAGTTTGACACTCATTGAAAAAAACAGAACCCTTCAAGTCACTATTTTTTCAACAGTGCCCTTAAAAATTGACAGCAATTGATTATTATATTACCTCAGCTCTAGAGGGCAGAAGTGAAGGAAGCTGTTCATAGGATTCTTGGCCAAGACCCAGCAACTCAACTGACATTGAGTGTTGCTCTGTCACCTGTATCTCTGGAATAATATTATCCACATTCATAGCATCACCAGTATTCACACCTGTATAATTTAATTTGATAAGAGATAATTACACATTTTTTTTTTATAAGAACCAGTAAAATTTTGCCCAGGCTCACTGTTTTTATTTTTTGACCAATTTCATTCTCAAAATGTTCTTATTTTGTTCTTTCTTTACATACTGTTCAAACATAGAAAATTAATATTGTACAGCAGTAAACTACTGTACTGGAGTGTAGATAAAAATGGCCCCCAAAAAAGGCCCCCGAAAAAAAAGGCACCAGAAAGAAGGCCCGGTAAAAATGGCCCCAAACGACAGGTCAGTACACTGTATTGTATTATGGAGGGTATTACATAATCACACCTATTGTACATTTAAGGTAAAGATACAATTTTTTGGTTTTCCTATAAAAAAAAATAATAATAAAAACCTCATTTGACATTTTACCTCAGCCTCAATTTGTTCTTATTTTTTTCAAAACCAAAATTTAAAATAGGCTATAATACAGCACAATAGCATACACTAATCTCAACATAATAATAAACTAAAATTAAAACTAGCATCGGAACAATAATTCCAGCAGTGATGGCAACAGTAAAATCAACAATGGAGGAAAATGATGGTGATGATAAAAATAATGGTAATGACGATGTTATAATAATGACAAGAAAATTCCAATGCTTCTACAAAGCAAATACAGTTTCTGCCTTACCTGTTTCTTCTTGTTCTTCTTCTCCATGGCTATCATGTTCTTCCTCGTCAGGTCTTGTATCGACCTCCTCTCCTAAGACATCCTTTGAGCGGGTCATCACACGCTTCATAATCTGTTGAATCTTGAGGTCAGCTTCAGATTTCTTTGGCCTTTGATTAAAATTTCAAAAATTGTAAATTAAAAATTTAATAAATTTTAAATCTAAGGTTTCACAACAAATCCTATCCTTAACCATTATTCTTAAGATCCTGCATTGTATTTTACTCACCTTCCACCCTCTCTTGCAGCTTTTAAGGAAGCAATGATGTCATCCACTGTTCTCTCCACTGGAGCTTTTTCCTCTTCTTCTTTCTCCGTCGCTTTCCTGTGCTTAGAGATTCTTCTGTCCTTGTCTGCCTTCCTCTGTGCTTTCTTGTATAGAGGGATACTATCCGGACTGGCGATCTCTTCAGCCTCAGCAAGCAGTTCACTGACTGATTTATGAGAGCCAACAGAGACAGTTGATCTTGCTCTTGCTGTGTTCTTGCGTTCACTGGATATGAGTTCTCTGTGATGTCTTCCTCCACGACTGACGTCAAAGTCTGAGTCATCAGAATCATACATGAACTCACTCTCGAGATCGTAGTCATCCAGATTGACGCTAGCCGAAGATGGATATGTTTTGGAACTCTTGGTAATACGAGACCTGCGATGATAACTGTTCTTGCTTTCTGTGTCAACATGAAATAAAATATCAATATATTATATAATATATGATATATGATATATATATTACATTAATATAACATAATATAATATAATATAATATTATATTATATATTGTACTGAGTAAAATTGAGTAGAAACAAAGGATTTCAAACAGATGACAGTTTTTGTCATAAAAATAAAATTATTGCATATTATAAAAACAGTGCACATACACAAAAACTAAGTATATTTTAGTTGTGTTTAATATTCAGAAAAAATACCTCCACTTTTGCGTTTATTGACAGGTGCTGTTGGTAAAGTAGATGTTGGCTTAGACCTCTCAGACAGTGTGAGCTTCATTGTAGTCCCGACAGAGCCCACAATTGCTGGTTTCTGGTGTGGGGCTAAGTCAGGGCCAAGAGGCTGAGCTTCTTTGGATGGTCCTGTAACCTTGGGGTTCCTTGGCGGCTCTGGGACTGTATCTGCTGTATGTGGTCTTGTTTCTTCAACACTTCTTTCATTCGCCTACAAACACATTAAGTTGGAGATTTCAAACTGATTTTGATAAAGGAGGCTTATCACATGATCACAATCATGAAGAAGATGATAATGTTGTCAATGAAAATGATGATGATGATGAAAATGATAATGATGATGAAAATGAAGATTACGATGATGATGATAATAAGGATGATGATCAAATAATAATCAAACACTATTATACACACAACCTTTTGAACTGCATCAATGGTAAGCTCCTCTCCTCGTAGTGGTATGCCTTGCATGATGACATTTAGTGACCCAATACACTGTGTGCTCCTTGCAGGCACAACACCAATAGACTGTACATGGGGCTTGGCCATCTCTGGAAAAAATAATTTAGCTTTTTAAAGATGACCGATTGTTAAATGTACAATAAATTACGATTCTTCAATAAAATAAAGATAATACAAAAACCACACAAATCAGAAGTGATGTTGTGGAAGATTCCATTATTTTCATGTAAGTTCCAATTGGAATCAGGTTTATATCTGTTCATCCAATTAAGTATTCACAAAATAATAAAAATAAAAACTAGGTATCATTACCAGAGGTCGTTACAGTCTGTTCTTTGTTGTACGGTCTCTTGTTAGTAGGTCCTGGTGATCTGATTATGGCCTCCTTATTTAAAGGGTTATATGCTGGAACACTCTGAAATACCTAATGGAGATAAAAAGCCAGGCATACAAAATTACGGTTAACTGCCAGACTCAATAGACGAATTGTCTATTTTGTGGGTCAACATAAGGCAGTATCAAGCTTGTCCCTTCTTCCCAACACAACCCTAAATTGTTCTTTACCTGTTTCTTCTGTGAATCAATATTTTCAAGCAAATCCTGATGAAAGGTTGGTTCGGTTCTGCGAGTGAATGGCATCTCCTTTTTCCCAAAGTCAGCATCCATCTCACTAGAATTTCATAAATGTTAAATAATGAAAACAAAATAACTGTGTTAATTATTCTTATATTTTATTTTTTACTAAATCAATATTTCATTCATTCATACCTATCTTTAATGAAGTAATATCAACACTCAATGGTGAAAAACTACAAATATTTTAACTAAAGTTACAAAGAATGCAAGATTAATTCATAGCCTAATGAAATATTCTGCACATAGTTAATACAATATTAATTAAGTAATTAATGATTAATTAATTACAATATATGGTTAATATAAACTGTTAATTTTACAATACATTGAAACACACAAAAATAATCCATGCATTAGTCTTAAATCTTTATCAGTTACTTCTAAAACAAACTATCATTAACAAAGTATCAATTAAAAAATGAATAAATTAAATAATAAATAAGATAGATTATTTATCACCTAGATATTAAATTTGTAAATAATAAACAAGATGAGTAAATACATACACGTTATGTATCTTGAAGCTAAAATGAAGAAGGTTCGAAAAGAACATTTTAACCATGCAAAAATATAATAAAATACAAATCAAATATAATGAAGGTATAAAAAAATATATAATTATCTGGACACAATAACACATGTCACATTATATAGTAATAGTGTTAAAGGCAGCAAGCAAGTAAAAACAACAATGGGGGTAATAGTTTAAAAAAAAAAAAAAAGCGAGTTCTTTTGGTTGTGAATTGAGTTAATTGGAAATGTTTTGTTTTTTTTTGACATTGTTACCCAATTTTGTAATCCTGCTCCTTCAAGTATACAGCCTTTTCTTCTTGACGTTGGTTCCTCAATCTTTCTGTTGATTGCTTCTTCATGTCATCTATTTCTTTCTGAATTTTTAACAATTCAGCTCGACTAATCCCATATCTAAAGCTCGTCTGCTTGTCTCTAAGGTAGAAAATATCATAATATTAGTAACATTATTTTTATATTATATATATAATAAATATCAGGGGGAAAAAAGTAGTCAATGCAGAAAAATAACTTTTGTAAAGAAACAAACTTCAGTGCATATTCAGCATGCACAAAACTTTGGGACTAGCAAATACAGTATATTTGGATATGGTCGCTGAGGTAAAACCCACTGCAACACGTCCTTAAATATAGGTGGAAACAGTGGCATAACATAGCCAAGGTTAAGATACAGTACACTTCATATTCGTCAAAATTAATCCAAGAGTTTGAGCTTACCTGTTACTGGACATTATGATGTAGCTTGTTGCTGTAGTTGAGTAATGATGAGCTGTTTAGTGGTACTTGTTCTGTGCTAGGAGTATAGGTTAGGCCTAGTCATGGTTACATTTTCATTTCTCTGAAATAATAATATAAATACTATTGATTGGTATTGCAAACATGTACTGAACTAGCTTGGCTGGTGAAAAGTAGGCCTAGTATTAAGCTAGGCTAGGCCACAACCAGACATTTAAATTTAATTTTTTATTCCTTTCAGCAGTATAAACATTTAAAAATATCAAATGAAAGTGGACAGCTGTGGAGAGACAAAAGCGGTTAAATGCTAACTACGGTCTAAGGGAGTGTCTCTCCAACTTCTACTATGATAAACCAATACAAATATAAAATAATTTAACTGTAAGCCTAACATTAACCACATTGCACACAAAAATACAATTATTAAAATTAATAAAATAGCCAATAATATAACCAAGCCCAAATTCTCACGCCCAACAAAAAATGAATATGCGCACGACCGACTGTGAGAACAGCTCCAAAACGGCTTTCACACGGCCAGCCGCGCAAACAACTCAAAAATGTTTATTCGAACGGCAAGATATTCGAACATATGGTTGCGTATTTTTTAAGCATTTTCGGCTGAGGTGTGTGGAGCGCCAATGGTGTGACCCCAAACAAATGACAAAAAGCAGACCAGTACACTACTGCAACGTTAGTTTATTAAAAATTATTTTTATTAGTGTTTCATATGCAGATTAAAGGTCAAACAAAGCAAAGGTACTACAAATTTAAAGCGCAGTACCACACTATGTTAGGGATTAATAGGTCTACCTAGGTAGCCCTAGGCTAGGCTACGCTAGCTTAGCCTAGCCTACGTTCCTAATCTAGGCCTAGCCTAGGCCTACCTAACGTAGACTAGGCCCTAGGGCCCTGCCTAGCTAGGGCCAGGCTAGAAGTAGGGTGGGCCCTAGCTATAGCCTAGGCTACGGCCTAGGCCCTAGGCCTAGGCCCCTACCCCCTAGGCCTATTCTATAAAAAAGGAGCCTCTAGGCTAGGCCTACCACTACCTAGCCTAGTAACCTAGGCTTACCAGTTACAAGGATCAGGTTGGCCCATTATCAACTTATCAGCTCCTACAAATCTGACATTGAGTTTTCTACCATAAAACTGAGATTTACCAAAGATTATAACTCTTCGGAAATACCAAACCATAACGTTCTGATATCATTATCAATCAATCTCTCTCGCGCATTAAAAGTGTTGTTGGTTGTCTGGGTATTCTATCCAAACGAGTCATTAAACCTAACCGTGAGTGGCTAGATTCTTAGTACGTACTGTGGTTTCACCAATGACAACACAGGATAGTGAAGCTCTCAAAGGCCGTTCACACACACGTCGTACACATGGAGGTGGAGTGCCACCACCACCGCGAGGACTGGGTGCATTATGTCTGTTCCAAAGTCATACCGTACTGCAAAATCAATCGTCAACAGCTATTCTAATAGATTAAATGTTATATCGTATTGCTATAGAAAATCAGCACCAAAGCGTATTGCATTTGATAAATTTACACAAGAGGTAATGTAGTTTGTTTAACTTATGAGCGAGCTAGGCTAGTAGTAGTAAGAGTAGGCCCCTCCTGATTGGATTTTGATCATCGACTGGCGGTGAAGAGCGGTTCCAGCAAGACTAGACAAATTAGGTGTGGTCGATCGGACCCACATTTTTCTTCTATTACTCGTGTTTGTATTATTATCCTATTCTAATTTTATAGTTTCCTCGTACTATGTAATGATGATGGTAGTGATTTCAAAATGCGAGCCTGCAAAAATGCAGCTAAGAAATACATAATCTTTTTATTTAAAAAAAACAGAAATATAAGGAAGTAAGTGAATATGATTTGTTACCTCCTGCATACTTCAAGTACCTTCCGAAATCAGCTCCTCCTGTTCTTCATTGGAAACAAGAACCAGGTGCGTTAAAATTTAAATGTTTTACACTCAAGTATTCATGGAAATCTCGAAACTGTGTATTTAGAAATTCGTCTGTGCATTTCAGAAAATAAGGGCCAATTTCCACCAAGGAAAATTATTTGACCTAATTTTTATATATGGCAAAGACAAGCCAAACCAGTCACTCGTCGCAAAAATCGATTTTGAGTTATTAATACAGTGTTAGAGAGCAAAATATTAGCTATAAAATGGTAAAAAATCATTCAAATCGGACATTTCCTTATAAAGTTACAAGCGTTTAACCACACAGCTGTTTAAAGTACAATATATGAGAAATTAACCGTCAATGTTTATGATTTCAGGCATTTCTCATGCAGAAACTATCTTTAAATCCTTAAAAAGTATTGTTTTAACATTGAAAATAGGGAAAATAACAGCATAGAATGATGTGTAGATATATAAAGGTTAGTTTAGTGCAATAAAATAGATTTTTTTAAATTTCACATTCCAGCATGTTTTGGCCATTTTCTCTGAAACACAATTTGCGACGAGTGACTGGTTTGGCTTGTCTTTGCCACATATGTAGTCAATGTAATATACAGTACTTTAGATTTTGAGCAGCTATTTTCCTAGTGGTTTTCCGCACATATTTGAGCTATTTTTAGAGGTATCATTCGAACAACTAAACAAACTTTACAGTATGGGTACTACTAGTAGTGAACCATAGATAACTCATAATGTGTTATTTAATCATTGACATATTTAAGAATAGCATAAATATAAGTAATCAATTGTTATTATTTTGTAATAAATTTTAATGAATAATATTTGTTGTAGGTATATGGAAGAAGCATCCAGAAACTGGAGAAAAGGTTCGAGTGAACAATGTACCAGTACCAGTACACTACCCAAAGGCAAGCCAAATGGGCTTGTGGGCAGGGGAAGGCATTGTGAGAGGGTATGCAAAAGCCCATAAAACAAGAGGCATGAGGTTAGTTATCACTCTCACAATTATTACTTGACTCTTAAATCCATGCTCTGGAGGAAATATTTTTCTTTGATATGTTGTCCAACTTATTTTTCTAGGACTCAAAAAGCCTATTTGACCAAAAACTCAAGAACAGTTAATGAGATGCGTATTTTTGAATATTTAAAAATTGGGGAAAACAGGCTTAACTACCCTTTTTTTCAACTTTGACAGGACTTTTTTTATACCTAGTTTTGTGAACTTAATTTTTTTTAAAGATCGTCAGGGGAGGGAGGAAAAAACAATTTAAAATTTTGGTCTTTCATTTAGCAAATAGTTTTGCCAAAAACATCCAGACGGAAGATAAGATAAAAATAAAATTGTATTGGTGAAATTTTGGGCTCAGTACAGACTCTAAACGTATGCATTTTCTTTTAGTTTTAAGGCGTATGTGGATTTTATAAGTCCGCAATGACGATATAACATGTTTAAAGTAAAATGTAGTAATGGGATGGTTAAATGCTTTTTTTATTCATTCAAAACTTTATTTAGTCTCGAAAATGCAAAATTTACAGCTTGATATAATTATACAAAATATATGCACACAGAATAAAATTCACAAAGGACTTGTTCGATCATGTAACAGTTAAAGTTACAAAGAGATTGTTTTTCATTGTTTTTTTTTTATAAAAAATGGTAAAATTTCAAAATTTTAAAAATTGATATAATTAGGCAGAAATATACATCTTATTTTTGGTGATTTCGTGGCGGTGGTGCGCTAAAAGGCAAAAAATTTAATTTTTTTTTCATTCGAAATCACCATTGTTGACGGGCCACAGGTTCACTAAACAAGGTATAAAAAAGTATGGCCTTATGATACTGTCTATTAGATAAGATGTTTCAAGACTCATTGAAACTACTCCAAATTGTATTATTCCTAAGGTTGCAACTCATAGTCTTTCTGGTTTTGCTAATTATATTAAAATATTATTCATTGAAGAATGCAATGAATATTGTTATATTGTGTTATGCATGTAATGATAATTAGTAATGGTAATGATAATTAGAGTGCATCTATTATTATTTATTTATTTTTTTTTTTTATTAATTATTTTAAATGATTTTCTGTTATACTGGACATGCATTTTATTTTTATTGACATTTAAAATAGTATGAGTAATCAATACATTTATTAATCTGTGCGGTGGCTCTCATGGTAGTGGCTTATTTTAGCCTTAATGAGGGTCTCCCGACCATTAATTTAATTTATTTATGTCAGAATTTTTGGTCTAATAAAACATTGTGAGTTCCGAGTTCTGACCTTTCAAAAATGAAAATTCAAATGAGAACATTTTTTCCACACAAATTAAATGTCTAGACTATCAAATTTTATTTGAAAAAAAAAAACATGTGACATGCCTAAATATGGTCATGATGACATCACATCATGACCATATATACTAGGCACATCATGCCTAAATATGGTCATGATGACATCACATGACCATATACAGTAGCTACATATGACTATATGTGGTCATACAACATATTCTTTGCATAGATTCATAAACTGGCAAATACCTTGATTTTTATAGTAAAATGTCAATAATTCAGTATGAATATTTTGGTCATCTAATTTTAAATTTAGGAGCTTATTGCATATGTAGTGATCAATTCCTTGATTTATTTCGATTTTTTAGATATTCTGCAAATGTTACCGTATATTTTCAAATTGATTTATAGTTTATTTATTGTTGTTTTTTGTTTGTTTATGTACAGGTACCCTAGACAATGGAAACCATTCATAACCAGCAGAAAATTTTACAGTGAGATACTGGACAAAGTATTCGACATACCATGTACATTACGTGCACTTAATAAGGTTGATGAAGCATTTGGGTTTGATCACTATATATTAAAGGTAAAGTGGACTCGCACACCTGATACATAATTTTTGCAGTTTTTGAAAAGTTTAATACAGCATATCACAGGGGTCCCAAGTTGGAAGAAGCCATCTCCACATCACCTTGGGGCAATAGCTTTCACCATGCCCCGAATCTAGAGCAGTTAATATTTGTATAATATTTTCTTTAATATTTCAAACTGACCAGGATACAATGCAACTCAAGGCTTTACATATGTATGGTTATTATAGTTACATTTTCTGTTCTTTATTATTGTTGTTGATCTTCTTTTATGTTCATATTTTCACAACCGTTCGCAATAGAAACTAGAGCAGTCACTCCATAAAGTGCATACCTCTGCCCTACATTGCCAACAATACATAGGCTGCCCTTTGTATTTGTCCACATGGTTTCCTTGAATGCTGCAGAATACCCTCAAGAAAATAATGGAATCGCCCATTGTATTCAGGCACATTGTTTTTTTTTGGTTTTTTTTAGTGCTGCTTGAGTACATGGGGCGATTTCATTTTTGCTGTTATGCTGGAGGGTAAAAAAATCTAATTTCGATAACCCTGATCTTGTCCTTTGACCTTTTCTTCAGAAAATTGAATAGTGTCGTTCTTTGATTATTGTGTACCATTTCACTTTTTTGATGATCCGTTCTTTAGTTTTTGCGTAATCTTGCAACAGACAGACAGCAGTGAACTGAATACATAACCTCCTTTGCGGAGGTAATGATTAAGATGTATTCTGGATATGTAATAATTATTTACTTATATCTGATTATGGTGCTTGCTAAAAGGATAAAGAGTTTCATGAATGATCACACAAAAGAATGTTTGTGTGTAGAAACACCTTCACTGCTGACCACGACAATCATAGACTTGATTTTATTTAGACATCACCTGAAGAATTGAATTCTCTACTGGGGATGACCTTGAAACGACACATGTTACTGGCCTTAGCAAGGAAGGATATGTACCCCGATGATCCTGCAAAAAGAGAAAAAGTCTACAACAAGTATAAACAGTATGAGGTGCCTGTAAGTACAAGTATTGTTTTTTATTTCTAAAGTGTCAATCAATCTTAACAGTTGACCAATCATAACAAAGCCAGGAATTTGCATATTAAAAAAAAAACTCATGCATGTGTTTAGGAATGCATTTTATGTACATTTACTCCATCGTTTTGTGGGACCTTAGCAATAATATCAGAGGAGCAGAGCTTATGCTCATATATAGTCATGATGTGCCTATATATGGTCATGATGTGATGTCATCATGACCATATATAGACATGATGTGCCTGTATAGGGTTATGGTGTGTTCTCATCATAACCATATTTAATCCAGTTTAAAAGCATTTGAAAAAAAAAATGTTTTTTCTCATAGGAGGAAGAAGCAATCTGGGTAGGTTTGACCAGAGGTCAAGCTATAGCCCTGTACAGACATTTGCTGCCTCCAGAAGCAAAAGTAAGACCCTTGAAAAATGTATATACTGAAGAATTGCTAGACAAACTTAAAGGTAAGCTCAGCGGTTTGTCAGATTGTGAGTATACTAGTTACTACACTTGCCTTGCGCAGATATAGGCCTACTCTATGCTGTGGCTCTCCAGTCTAAAATGACGTGTTAAGGTTTACTGCAGTTCATATCATTTGGCAGCATGCCAAGTACAGTGTGTTGACAGATGACCAATGGCTGATAGCACGCTGTCCAGTAAGAGTATTTTGACCTTAGTTTGACCTGCAAGCTGCAGTATACTCACGCTCCTTTCAGCAGCCTATTTTTATTTATTTGCTAAAATTATTGAAACCAGCAAAACCAACATCATATAATCTATGGCTTGCATTTCCGTACTTGGAGTATGTATTATACTATCATATAATCTAATAATTTCATAAAACTGAAAAAAATTTTTGAGAGAAAAGATATTTAGGCCTATAAATCACTGACGGAGGTTTAAAAATTGAATATCATGTCATTTATAAAGAAGGTGGTTTGCCACAGCAGTTTCCATTCTTATTCTTGACCTTTGACCAGCAGTTTGTAGCCTACACACTGATCAATCCGAACTGGCTATGATTAGATACTTCAGCTTTCATAAGTGGCTTCCTGGGCCTTGTTACAGTATAGCAAATTCAACAATTTTATTATAATAATAATTAGAAGAAGAATATTTTATTTTCATAATTAAATTTGTTTGTATTTTAGAACAAAATGTAAATATGGAAGTAGAATCAGAAGAAAAACCGAAAAGGTAAATTTGCTATTGTACTTTGTAAATTTGTTTCATTACTTAGAGGAAAAGAGCACTTGCTAGTGATATTGAAATTGTTCATTTGGTTTTATAAGAAGCTTTACAAAGGTGGCGCCAAGATTTGCCTGACGGAAGGGGCCAGGGTACCCGACAAGAGCAAAGAGGGCGTGGTTGGGCATCGCTCATAATATTTCAAAAGTGGTCCAGGAGGGGAATCCCCAGAAAATATGATTTATATTTAATCAATTTTATTGATATTTAATTTAATAGATTTTAGAGTCTACAAATATGTAGAAAATATATATAATTTTTTTTTTCTCCCTGACCAATTGTGGTTTTCTGACCGACAAGGGGACTGAGGTACTTCACTTTTGGCAGTGGCCATTGTTCTCATTTCTTAATATTTAATTTTTTCTTTTCATCTTTTTCCAGTTCCCCTTCCTTCATTTCGAGAATATTTAGACGCGGTAGCAAACCAGGTGATGAGAGCAGTGTATGATGACAATTTAATATAGATGTCTTGACATACATAAGTTATCAGTCCAGTTATCAGTTTCTTGATACAACACTATTGAACACAGTGAAACAACAAAAACTTTTAAGGATTTTATTTTTAAAAGAAAAATACCACCAGTAAAGTTGTAGCATTTGATAAACTGAGATGCCCAAAGATATTAAACTTTTTATCATGAGAGTTATTAAAGACTTTTACACTGTATTGTATGTATGTGACTAGTCCAGATTGGGTTTGGCAGGAACAGTCGTGCAAAAACAACACAATGCTATGATTAGCATTTCTCAAAGTGCAAATTGTTTTGAGATGCTATTAAGAAATGCATTCAGGTGCTCCAAAAGTCAAATATTCAACATTTAAATATATTTAACATTTAAATATATTTAACATTTAAATATAGTCAACATTTAAATATAGTCAACATTTAAATATATTTAACATTTAAATATATTTAACATTTAAATATATTTAACATTTAAATATATTTAACATTTAAATACATTTAACATTTAAATATATTTAACATTTAAATATATTTAACATTTAAATATATTTAACAGTACAATGTTATGTTGACTTTTATGCTAGTGTGTGATCATCAGTAAAATCTGTCAGGGAAAATTGAGGTATGGTGGGGCAGGGGGGGTGTTTGGGAAATGTCTGTGGGGAATAATAGACCACCTTCAGCCCTATTCTGAACTATTTCCAGTTGCTAAATGCTGTAGTTTATTTAATGAGTAAAATAATACTTTGTTCTAATGGATAGGATACTACTCTGGTATAATTAAATCTACAGTATCACATGATATAACTGTCTGTTCCTTTCATTTATTTCATTCTTGGTTTTTGACTCATGTTAACATCACTATTGTTACTATATTAATTACTATTACTGCTATAATTATTATTTTCATGGTTATTATTGTTATTACTATCATCAGTTGTCTAGTGCATGAAAAAAAATCCCTTCACATTGTAAACTAAACTTTTCAGGACATTTTTGTTTTCCAATCACATTATTGTAAAATTTAAATATACAAAACCAGAAAGTACAGTAAATTATTTTATGCCTAACTTTATCACTTTTTCTTAAATTGGTGTCAATGAGTTGGCCAATTTCCAGAATTATTAACATTTGTTGTGTTGGTAGGAGCAGCTGAGTCTGTGATCCATTTATAATAAACATTAAAACTTAAATACAGACTTATCTCTTAGAGTTAAAATAACATCTTGCATAACATTGTAAGCCCATGTTACTAGTTGCATGATTCATTTCACAAATGTATGGAAGTGAGTTATCAGGAAACTTAAAAAATCTGGAGAGTCCCCCTTTTCCACATAAACACACCCTCCATCCTCTGACTCTGTCCCCAGTGTGAGAGAATAGTCATCAATATTGAGCACACTACCATTAAGTGAATTTTGTCCCGGTAAAGCTGCAATCCAGATAGTACCAATTTAACCAAGGAGTTAATTTCCAAATTATGCCCATGTAATTTGGAGATGTCACTGACACATATTTTGCAACATCTGTACCAGAGGTGTACTGTCCTGTGATTACCTTGATGCATCCGTTTTCAGAAATTGCGTACAAAGTAGACGAATAACTGTATATTTGTTATATGCATATGATTTAACATTTATTGAATTCAACCAACTGAGTCGCCAGAATTTGCCCGACAGGGTGGAGGCGAAATCCCTGACGAGAACGTAAATTGAGCGGGTATAGGTGGCTTCCCAGGGAAATAGTCAATATAGGCATCAATTTTAGAGTCTCGCAAACATATGGTGTCATAGTGCACTGTTGCTGGGCCGTTTGCTCAAAAAAATAAATGAATGAATGTACTATCATGGCTGCTCTACAAACCTTTTAATGGAAAATTTATTTAGAATGGATTTCCATCGTACATAAATTGGCACGAAATATGTTTTTTTCTAAAATCAATAGCATCGTATAATTATGCATCAGTAAATTTTGTAACAAACAAACATGACCTATTTAAAGAAAACGTGCGCGACAGTGGTCAACGGACAAACAATGTTAATTTGCGTAGACAAAACGTTATTTTGATTGCCAATCCCTAATACTGTGGTCCAAAATCACAATTGTCTTTACGTCATAAAAACTCTCCCCATTAACCCTACCATGTTTTTGATTTTTTTTTTTTTTTGGAACGTCGGATCGAGGCTCTGTCGTCCTTTGGTTTGGACCCCTGGTTGGCAAATTTCTGGAGCCACGACTGATGTGCGACAAGGAAATGCACGTACTGGTTCACTGAAAGTAAATCCATGAAATACTGGGATTTGTTTAAAGCTGGCCTCTAAACATGGATCTAGTAAACTACTTACTACTAATGGCATGGCTTTCGTAAAACAAAATACTGTATAACATTAACAACTGAATATAATATATGAAGCTAAACCGATTTTAAAAGAAAAAAAAATGTCCGGGTTCAGTGACAGCGGCAATAAATCATGCTGCTAGCAGATCTGAAATTTATTCATGATGTAGACCTTCAGGTATGTAAACAAATTTAAACTAATCTCACCGATAAAGAAATACATTTAAAATATCAAACTCAAACGTGCGTGCATAGATTTCAATTACTTTTCAAGTACTGGTATGTTTTAAAAAGCATTTATAGTACATTGTACTCAGACACCAGAAAAAGTAGAGTACGTGGGCCTAATGACACTGAAACAAGATTTTGAAATTTATGTACATATTAGAACATTCGAGGTTGTTTACTGTACTTGTTGTGTATGGTACTTCTATTGTTGCCTTTTCACTCATGGGTAATTTTTTTTTTTTTACTTGTTACTTTTAATCGTGAATGAGTCATCATAGGAGTAGGTCTACAACATGTAGAACAAAATACAGGAACTTCCTTCGTCCAAAAATAGGGAATTCGTCGACGGGCACAAACTGTCAATAGAACCCAGGCCGTTTTGAGTTTCAGGGGTTTTAATACAGTGTGTAATAAAAATGCCTCTGACGGGACGGGAATATATAGATTAAAAGGCAAACAAAAATGTGGGAAACAATGGCTGGATCTCGGTAGAGATAACAAATTTGATAAGTAACAGCTAAAAAGTAAACGTAAGTAAACAGCCAGAAATGGAACCAGAGCTTTTGGAGAATGCTAGCCCTTCCTCAGTGGCGGAGTTTATAGGGATAGGAAAAGCCAGATAGTATGAAGTAAGAAGTCATTCAAGCATGATTAGAAAACAATGCTAGGTGAGCAGTGATAGTAAATATATGACACATATCAAGTTGTATGAAAAGGAGAGATTGGTGGTCTTAGATCAAAGGCAATTCAACAAAAACAAAAAAAAAACAACCTCAGACTTGCCAAACTTTTTTTTTTTTTTTTTGCAATATGTACAAAAACGTAAACACCTCCGCGACTATAACAAACTTATATTTATATCAAAGCTAGAACTGTTTGAATTTTTTGAATTTTTTATAATGTAAGCAAATAGCTGTAATTACAAAATATATTAGAAATGTATTCCCATATCTTATCAGAATGATGGTGAAAATTAACGTAAGATGTTCGTAATTAGATTTGCCCACACGCACACCCCTCCAGAAATTACTCCCCCTCAAATTCTCCCTCCCCCCCCCCAAAAAAAAATCACAATCAAGTAGTTAAAAATCAAAATTAGAGCCCCTCAATTGATCATCAAGCCCTTTCCCCCACTTCACCTTCACGCCCCTCTCAGCCAATTTTAAGATTCTATACGCCACTGCCTATGCCTCATTTCTTAGATGAAATTACGGAACTTTATGGGTCGTGTTTTGCGATGCTATTGTCACAAATTACAGGCATACATTTATTATAAATGACCAGCCTTGATTTAAAACAAATAAAATCAAAATATGTTTTATATAAGTTCAAGTGAATAATTACGGTTACCAAAATAACTTTCTAATTATTGAAAAAACATAAATAATGAAACTAACCAAAACGACAATCAAACTTTGGAGAAATATATTAACTTATTGCTTAAAAAATAAATTTCTACCTTGCCTGTTGAATTGGGTTGTCCCAATTTTCGTTAACACTAACATACTATGCCCGAATTAAAAGAAAAAAGATAATAACATTTCATTTCGTTTATTTAACCGAAAACAATTTATAAAAGGATAAAACAGTAAAAAAAAAATACAATAAATGTTGGTCTCTGATTCCCTACAAGGGCCGGCGGGATAACCAAAAAGTAAAATAAATTACTGTCAAAGTGGGTCTCCATCCGAGTTGGGAATTCAGAGAACAGCAAAACACACAGAGAATGTAATATAAATATAAATAA